GGTTAGCGTGCCCTGGAAGCAAATCAAAGCACTGAATCGCCGTTCTGCACAATTTAATGTCCAAAACACTAACCTGGCTCTCGAACTCGCACACATATTCCAGTGTAACCTCACAGCTTTGAGATGGGCCAAGTGACATTCCTGGTGGGTTGGGGTTAACAAATTTTTAACAAACAGATTTTGTAACTATATTTTGTAACAAAAGGGGCGGGTCATAAAAGGGACTCACCGAGCCCAACGCTAAGGAGTTTACTGGTTATTTGCATCTGACACACATCTGTTGACCTTCATTAAGACTTTTTATTTGAATTCAGTTAAGACTGTGCTTATGAGGATACTTGCTAAAACGAGCATTTTCGTCCGTTTAAAGGCAGGGTAGGCAGTTTGTTTCTAAAACACTTTTCCCCAAATTTGTTTAACCTGTCTTTATATACCAATACATATCTAGAATGTAAGTACTATGAAAAGGACTAAAGGAGAGTATAAAAATCGAGTGTCTGTAGTCCTCTCAGGGCTGCAATAAACACAGCTACTTATTCCATCCGGAACGAATGCAATGATTGGCTGGGCGACTGTCACTCTCCCTCGCAACCATGGCTACCACCCCTGCTGCTACAGGAGCTGCCCAGTGCCCACATGCGCGCACCCGGTTGACTCGCTCATTTCGAAAGAGGAGAGGCACGTACCGGCCGGAAGCTAGGAACTCTCACAATTAAGGCAGAGAAAGAGCAGTCAAAATTCCCAGCACCACCTGTGCCTGCATATACAGTCAGCGCAGGCAAACAAGGCAAAAAAAGGTGACGTCACTCCATGCACTGCGCTCCTCTCCGCTCGGCGCTGGTAAACGCGTTCTCCAGCTGAGCGGTCGGCATCACGTGTTCATGTGTTTTGGGGGCGTGGCTTTGGAAGGAGCCTAGAAGGGAGGGGGTGGGAGTTTCTCTGTTGAATACTTTCAAAATCCAGCAGTTTTCTGCTAGTTTCTCAAACTTACCTACCATGCCTTTAAGTGCGATAAGATGCAAAAGAGACCTCTGTACCTTATCACAGCAGCGCCATCCCTGATTTTTAATCGGGAATGAAAGCGAGGCTGTGAGCGATGGACAAAAGCTACGTTTTCATTACCCTTCAAATTGCGCAAATTGAAAATACATCCAGTGGAAACACGTCAATTTCACAAAAACTCCCATATATTGCAAAAAAGTTTTTACGCTTGCATGAGGTGGTTTTTCAGGCAATTCGAAAAAGGATTATTTCGCAAAAAGGCAATGGAAACAGTTTTTACGCATTTACAGCACCTGACGGTGTGGTATTTGGACAGAAGACGAGACAGAGTGCTTCATTATACTCATTAAAGACAAAAGTAGTACGGGAAAACTGGATTCTAACAAAGAAATGCCACAATTTATGACAGGAGGGAGAAACACCTCATATGTGCCGCTCCCAAGTATAAGGGGCTTTCCTTGCTATTAATGCTTGGATTACACGCCTACGTCTCCTTCGATTAAAAATAATGGCTAGTGCGGTGGATGGGATATGTAAACCTACCAACATCCATTGCCATGATTTTTGGAATGACTGAAAATGACGTTTTAGTCGCAAACGCCGTCGTTTCGCAATAGTTTTTTTGATAGATAAGTAATCAGGGAGCTTTCTACAGCTTTTTACAGTTGATGCCATTGAAAACACAGTAGCCTAAGTCTACCTGGCTTTCATACCTGTCATGGCGCTGCTCTAAAAAGGTCTGTCTGAGACGCAGCTCTCTGTGTGCGCGCGGGAAATAAATTGAGTTTCTTTTGCATCTTCTTGCTCATGAATGGTTTGAATGTTTATAAAGACCGCGGTCACGTCCTTATACCGCTTTCTAGTTTCTAAATAACAAGCGGATTTTTGATTCCAAGCAGCCGAAAGCACGATCTCCCTCTGGAGCTGAATTGAACATCGCAGCAATTTTGCAATGATTGGTTGTTATTTGGCGTGGGGTCAGGGAGGGCCAAGCTGAGAACTGGAGCCGCGGGCCTGGCGCAAACCTGCTGTGCTTAACGGGACCCGCGGGACCATGCAATTCCCATTCACATTCATGGCTGCGCCTGTCAAACAAGGTCAAAAAAGGACAGACGTCAATATAGATGCATGTCAGTGAGAAATCCCTGCATCCTTGTGCATAATGTGCAAGTTTCACGTGGTAAGTTTCACAGGGGACATTTTTATAATCCTGCAGTGAGACAAACTCAAACTGAAGTTGGATCTACCTGACAGGAAGTTGGCCCTTAGCTCAAAAAGGACGAGAAACAAAGGGGGGAAAGAAAGTTTCTACATTTGTAATCGTAAAACAGTGAATCAATTGTGAGTCATTGCTTTGTGATGTCATACTCGAAATGTCATCTCTCATCACTCACTCCCACCCCCAGCAGAATGGCAGGAAATGAAAGGACAGGGAAAGTGAGGGGAAGAATGGTGTTATTGACGGAGAGCGGGATTATAGCGCTGAAGATAATGTCAGTGCTGTGACACATCATGCATACACATTATGTCAGCATAAGCTCTAATATTGTGGCCAATGACGAGACAGGAGATGTTGCAGATGAATTGCAGCTATATCCACAGCTCACTGCATCCCTCTTGTGGTCGGTGTGTGAAATAGTATAAAGGATGATATTCAAGGTTCAGCTGGTATAATGCTGTGCCTGTGGGCTATGTAAATGAACTCAACAGATAATTCTGTCCTGACAAGGCAAATCGATATACAGTTCTGCAGTTTACATACCACTTGCAGAACATGCTAGATCATTTCAACAAAATAAGAGGACTCATAAAGTGTGCATGTTATTTTATTTTATTTAGTAATGTCCCAAATAAGCTGTTGCACGTAACAGATGTTTACATAAAGTCCACAACAAGACAAAATAATAACTGAATTTAAATGAACCAGTTCAACAGTTTACATACTCTTGAATCTTAATACAAGTAAACAAATGTATTTAATTAAAATCTATCTATATTTATTTGCGTGCTATTAAGAAAGTTTTTGACTTCCATCCATCCATTTTCCAAACCGCTAGCACCCATGTAAGTGTTTTACTTAAATAAATAAACACATAAATAATATTAAAATTAAATGATAAACTTATGATAATATTAAATGTTTCTTGAGCATCCAATCATCATATTAGAATGGTTTCTGAAGGATCATGTGACACCGAAGACATTTTAACATGTAGGTCTATATTAAAAAAATAAAACAGTTATTTTTCTATTTCAAATTGTAAAAATATCTTACAATATAACTTTTTATTGTATATTTGATCTGCAGCCTTGGTGGTGAGAGCAAAAGGTAGCCTACTATTCCAAAAACATTAAACAATATATTTTGAACTTTTGAACGGTAGTATAACACTATAAAGAATCAAAACAGACATCACTAATAACAAATAAATAAATAAACAATCAATTATTATTAATCGATTGCTTAGCCTACTGTTTAGATGCGAGCATATGCATTCTCTCTGCATGATAAATGATTGGAAGTGCTGAAATATAATATGGTTTAAGTATGGTTAGACAACATGATCAATCACACAAAGATGCAGGTTACCAAGGCAACGGAAGCATCATCCTCTGCATAATAACCCCTCCCATCTCCCGAGCAGCAGCCAATAGTGATAGCGCGGGGCGTGGCCAAAATATGCCCGTCAACTTCCAAGTGCGTCAAGCCCTTGTGAGCTGAAGTTAATGTGGTAAATGTCAGGCAGGCGCGTGAATCGTGCGTTTAAATCAGCAGAGAATTCGAGTTAATTGTATAGAAAGATTATCAGATACATTTTTGAAAGTAGGTTACAATACCCCTCCGAGCAACAAAGATCTCGTGATTCTTGTCTAAAATACACAATAATAAAAAACACACCCTTGCCTCCGGCTTTCTGGAGTCGTGGCGCAGGTGAGTGACACTTTTTCGCACTATTGACAACGCGTGTGATGCTGCATCATAATTTAGTGGAAAATACTATTTAAAATGGCATCAGCTGTGGACTATGGTGTGCATGACGTCTGGAGGAGTTTTCCCACTGTTTTCCAAGGGTTCATCTTAAAACTTGTTATTATCACGACGAGGTTAGTGGTTCTAGACCTCTAAACATGATGTGTTTGCAACAGCTAAGTGGGAGTTTAAGCTTGTTAATCATCATGCAGTCGTTGTTTTTACACAAGGTTAATGTTGTGCTTTCGTAAGTCTGGCAAAGACCACATGATAAACACACGAGACTGAAGGTTTTTATCTGCATAATGTGTTTACTTAAGGTTTCATAATGCAAACGACAGAAGTCACGTGATTATCCACTGGATAATATCCAGACAACAATATGAAGACTTATTGCAATTCCATTGTACATTAATGCAACTTCTTTACTGCAAATATTAATCACTATGAATGTTAAATAATATTGCAATTACAGAAATGATTGTGCATTCGTTATTTCATGCCTGTATAGCATATATCCACTTATTAGTTTTATTAAAGGGTAATAAACCCTAAAACAACTTTTTTTTTAGTTGATGATCAGTAAGACTAGGGCTTTATTAATGCTGTTCATTGATTCGAGTACATTTTTTGACATTTGGGTATAAAGTGTTTGAATTGGTAAAAACGTCTGAGTGCTGCCCTCTTCTGGTTGAACGGTGGCTACTGCAGTTGAATGTTCCTATTGGATGTTGTGGTACTGCGTGATGTAAGCAGGTACCAGCTCACCACCCCCTTGCCCACAGAGAGATGTGGGCCTAAGGTGCACGCCCCTCCGCTGGGCTCCGCCCACTTTTCCAGCATTTTTCAAATATTGCCAGTGGGTGGAGTCAGGCTCTGACCAGGGGTTGAGTTACCCTTTAATGAAACAAATAATTTCACTTACTTGATTGTTTCTTATAACTATTTCAGGATCTTGGCTCTCTATATCTTGAACATGTTTGGGTCGCAATTATATTTTACATGAAGAAAGCAAATCTACTATCCATATCATTCATTAAATATGTAATTTGCATAGAGGTGGAGTCTTGTACATCCCTTAAAGGTTTTCTTTCTTTCTTTCTTTCATCCCTGTGTCCCAGCAGGTAATGGAGGGTATGGCGTTGAGTGCGGGCGGCTTGCGGACTCTGCCGTGGTATGTGGTGTGTTCTCAGGTGCTGGGGGTTACATGTGTGGTGATCACAGGCGTGTGGATGGGACATTACCGTGGAGGCTACGCCTGGGACGGCTCAGCTCAAGAGTTTAACGTCCACCCTCTCTGTATGGTCCTCGGCCTGGTCTTCCTCTATGGAGATGGTAAGAATAAATAGAGTAAAGAATAGAGTAAAACTTTTTTTTTTTTAAACTTCATTTAACTGAAATAGTATAAATGCTAGTTTTGACACCCAAGGATACTGATATAGTTTTTCTGGGCTGAATATATTTATTTTTTCTGTAGCCCAGCAGGTGAACATGCAGTGCTACAACTGCCTAGAAAAATAATCTTATCTTTTTCTTTTCATTTAAACATTTAATACCTTGAAATGACTGATTAACCTAGTTTTCCTCTGCTGTGTTGGTGGCATGAACAAATGTTGCCATTACTTGAGGCATTTATCAACCCATTTATTCCCTCACTCAAACAGTGTTTTCTACACGATTGGGTATAAATTGTGGTTAAAAATTGGAATGTATAAAATGTATATTAAATGCAATATATTAAAATAATCATGTAAACAGTTAAAATGTTTATGTAAATACTGTTAAAAAGTTATTTTATTAAAAATACAAAACAGTAATTGCAAAATATTACTACAATTTAAACACTTTTGTATGTAAATATATTTTAAAATGTAATTTATTCCTATGGTGGCAAAGCTGAATTTTCAGCCTTCATCCAGTTGAATCCAGTCTTCAGTGTCACATGATCCTTCAGAAATCATTTTAATATGCTGATCTGATGCTCAAGAAACATTTTTTTGTATTATTATTTTTGCTGCAAAAACCCCTCAAACTTTTGAACACTAGTGTATGTGTGTATATATATATTATTAAAATATATGTTCCTCGTAATGTATGTATATGTATATGTAAAAGTAAAAATATTGTGTCTTAATGAACAAAATCTACTATATTTAAATTGGTAATACTTCTTATTGTGGTCTTATGGTGTATGATTTATCAATCCAGGTAATTCTTTAAAAAAAAAAAGTTGACTTTCATCAAAAAGTGTTCTCTCATTTTTTTCTATAATACTGTGTATTGGCCAAATATCAGTGATATAGAAAAGTTGGTTGCAAAGACCAGATTGCGTGTAATTGTCTAATAAGACATCTTTGGATCTTCTGTCTCTCAGCCCTTAGGGTGTGTGTGTGTGTGTGTGTCTGTGCTTGCAATAAAACACACAACACTGAACAGAAAGGGCCAGCTAATGCTGTTAGAGCTAAGATCTGATTTGTTTCCTGATTTTTGTGTATATATGAATCAATGTGGGCTAGAATACTTCATGGTTAGTTTTCAAACAGAAATAAGCCCTGCTGAGAGATAGTATTGTGTAGTTTTCTCTATTAATCTGTAACTGCTGTTGTCAAGAATACAGTAAAGAAAATAGTCCGAGAAGATAAATTATTTTTAACCTTTTTAAATGGATGTATCTGATCTCTATAATTTGACACACACACACACACACACACACACGCACACGCACACGCACACGCACACGCACACACACACACACACACACACACACACACACACACACACACACACACACACACACACACACACACACACACACACACACACACACACACACACACACACACACACACACACACACACACACACACACACACACACACACAGACAGACTTCTGTGCTGTTAAAGTATAATCACAGTCAATTCATGGGTCTTACATCTGGGCACTTAATAAAGCACTCGACAGAGACAGATGCTAATTGAGCTAATATCTTTAGCAGTGATCCTCTTATTCAAAGCCCTCGTCATGGCAATTTAATTAGGACATTATATCTAAAAGGTCACTGGCCTATTAGAGGTTTAGCTGTCCCAAAAAACACCAGTAAAAACAGCCCAGAGGGGATCTGTCTGCTTGTACAAAGGCCAAAAAGACACACAGGAATACATCTTCAGCTGTTATTTGACAAGTTACTGCATCTGTAGAATTTCAAATCTGACGCAGGCTGTTTTTAGTGCCTTTAAGACTTCTGTCTGTTACTTAATACTTGTAATTCTTTTATAATTGGCTAACCTTTTCACATATGATAAAATGGCTTAATAAGAGCTTGTTCTTTCTCTACCACAGCTGTTCTGGTTTACCGTGTCTTCAGAAATGAGACTAAACGTTCTGTGAAAATTCTCCACGCTCTGCTGCATATGATGGCCCTCATCATCAGCATTGTGGGTAAGTCCAACATGCGTGTGCTAGCAGGCTAGAAGAAAACGTAGATTACATGTACGTTTGGCTAGTTTTGCTGGGTATTTGTTTATTGACAGATTTTAGCTGAAATTCTCAACTGCTGCGGTCACAGCCATTTCCCGTGACTAATGTGCAGTTTGAACCATTAAATAAGGCGAAAACTAAAATTTCCTTCAGATAAACAGATGTATTTTATTAGTCGCAGGGCACAGGATAACTAGATTTGCATTTCCAGAAGTCAACACCAATGCGTGCAACTGCTCTGTTACAGTCTATATATGTACTCTACCGTTTACAAGTTTGGGGTCAGTAAGATTTTCTTCTTTAAAAAAAAAAAAAAGGTACATGATGTAACTTTTGGCCCTCTAGCAGTACAAAAAACAAAACGGCTGGCATTTTGCAGAAGAATATTGTTTTGGTTGTGCTTCGGCATCTGTGTGACTGCGGATGAATATGGTTATCCTCCTGCTCAGAAAACATTCACTACTGCTCTTAAAGGGATACTCCACCGTTTTTTCATATTAAACTATGTTGTTCCCTTAACTAAGACAAGTTGATACATACCTCGACCCTCTCGTCTCGTTGAACGTGATTTCACCAAGTACCACATGTTCAACTTTCCAATCAACCAATCAGATTTGAGGGACAAGTTTACAATGTATGTCAAGTTTAGGCTTAGAACCAGGGTGAAGTACTTAAACATCAGTGTTATTCACCTATCATTACCCTATGATTTTTGGGAAAAGTTATGGGTAGGGTTAGGTTTAGGGGTAGGGATTGGGTAAGGACTACATTTTGGGACAGGAATGTTGATCCAGGATGCTCCCAAGCACTTGCTATGGTATTCCGCCATACATTATAGTTATCCAATTTACGTTTTATTTTGTGTCACCATTCTTGGTCGAGTTACACTACTCGTGTAACTGTATTTAAATAGGGAAAGCGTGGAGGTGTTTGGTCGCTTCTCTGCTTGGATCCTAATGAATGAACTGGGCTAAGCTAAGTGCTACCAAAGTTTCGCCGCAAGACAGAGCGATATGAGAGAGACGAGAGAGGTATGCATCTACTCGTCTTAGTTAAGGGGATAACATAGTTTAATATGAAAAAACGGTGGAGTATCCCTTTAAGAGATATAACCAGTTTATATGGAAAGGATCTCAAGCTGACTAGCTGAAGACATTACTGTAGCTTTACCTATTAATAGACATGGTACTTCCTTGAAAATAAATTCCAGCACAGCTACAACAACCACGAAATGACTCTCACAATACATAATGCGTTACAATGAACTCTGTTAAGAGAGCTACATGGTAATTTATCTGTTCAATAAAATACCCTAATCCTAATCACCTTTAAGTAAAAAATGCTTTTACATTTCAAATCCCTCAGTTCTCGCCATCTCCGAAAAGCCCATGTTGATTCTTGATTAATTGCAAGCTCTGTCGCGTTCTTTTTGCCTTCTATTTTAAAATGGGTGATTCCCCTGAGGTTCTTTTTAGCTGCTCCATGTCAACCTTTCTCGCTCGTTGCCACTTCCACATGCGTCAAAGTAGCCGGAGCAACTTTTCTCTATTTACGGATATGACGAGACGCGCACGGATGAGTGGCGCAAGTACACAATTTCGCGTGAAAAGCATCCCGCTCTGTCTAAAATCGAAACAATTATAATAGGCTTACCATAGTGAATCAGGGTAAGACAAAAAACACATTTTCTCAAATAAATATGCTTTTTTTATGATAGAGGAAAATTTTCCTTCAGATTTTGAATAGCGATGGGAGATTTTCAGACATACAAGTTTACTAAAACAAAATAGATAACATGCCTAAAACATCAGCAGTTTGATTTAAATTAATTGCAGAAAATTGTGTGGAAGAATAAAAAGTATATGTTTTTATTATCTCTCTCTCTCCCCAGGTCTTGTGGCCGCATTTGATTTCCATTCATCGGCTAAGATCTCTCACATGTATAGTCTGCACAGCTGGTGTGGCATGCTCACTTTTGTGCTGTTTTTCCTGCAGGTAATTTGCAGTTATTTCCTTTTGACCAGGGCGAAGGTCTGTTTGCATTTAAACATCTTCCTTCTTCCTTATTTGAACAGCTGAGCTGCATCATGACTGTTCTGCAAGTGTTTGTGGTTTGGAAGCACTTTGCTCTGCATTAGCAAACCCCCGTGTGGAGGGTCACATCCATTACATCACCATTGACATCAGAACATTGCTGTTAAGTGTTTTTATTGACACTGGTAATCCAGCCTTGAAACCTGACCTGATAGTCCACTTCATATATTCTACATACATCTGAATTTTTTTATTAAATTCCACTTCATATTGTATGCACATCTGAAAAATAGGATTTAATTATTTTATTATACTTTATTTATTTATATATATATATTTAAGTAAAATTTACAAGTAATTCCATTATATATTTTTTTTCCTAACAATTTTCTTTTTCATAAATTTTTTTTTTACGGAGTATCAATTTTTTATATAACCTTTTTATAATTTGAGGATACCTGATCCTAAAACATTTTTAAGAGGCCAATGGAATAGATCGCCTCAAGTTGTCTTAGGACTGACTTCTCCTCCTCTCCTTTGCTCCAGTGGTTACTGGGACTGGGATTTTTCCTTTTCCCATGGGCATCTGCTCAGTTGAGGAGCTGGTATCTCCCTCTGCACGTCTTCTTCGGCCTGTTGCTGCTGGCCATGTCTGTGGGATCCTGCCTGCTGGGAATCACAGAGAAACTGCTCTTCAGTATCATGTGAGTGTCAGTGAATGTATCTAACGAATATCATTTTTGAAAATAACAACTGATGTCACTAAACCGAGGTAAACATTTTGAATGAGAGGAAAGGAATGAGTCACCGGGTGAATGAGTCACAGCGGAAAGAGACTTTCAATAAATATTAATGATTTTTGGCTTCTTTTCTCCATCTCTCACTGTGGAGCATCAAATGCTGGATTTATTCAAGATATTCCCTGTGTGCCTATTTACTGTGTAACTCATGAATAGTTTATTTTTTAAAAATGATAAAATATGCTGCACATATAATTATTTACTTCATTGACACATAAATAAACACTCTTAACACATTGCGTTTCAGTTCAGAAGTGGTCCAGAAGCTTGAGTTAAGGTTTGCAAGTTACAACAGCGTTTTTCCATTCATTAACCAATAAAGATTTTATGGCACATTTTCTGTTCTCAGGCCTACTTACTCCAAGTTTGTTGCTGAGGGGGTCCTGGCAAATATTTTAGGCTTGTTGCTGGTGTGCTTTGGGGTCGTGGTGGGTTACGTGGTGACGAGAGAGGATTTCAGGCGACCACCGAATCCTGAGGAGGAGGCTCTATCTGTGCATTTTAAGAGCCTGTCGGAAGGAGAAATCCCCAGCTCTCCTTAATGTCTTAATATACTCCAACAACTGCCTTTCTGCCCGTGTCCTAGTAAACCTGTCAGCCAGTTCCTTTATTTGCAGTCTTGGTATTATTTTGTATTTGACACGCCCTTGTCATATGCACGTTAAAGCAGGATTAAATTACCAACATGTATGGAACAGAAAACATGTTACTGTTTTTATTATTGGAGTAATTAAATGTTATATATTGTTTGATTTTTTTCAGGGTTAGGCTTTTTTTTTTTTGGAATGATTTCTAATTGTTGATATATTTTGTATATACACACAATATATATACAATTATATAGTGTTTAAATGCATTAGATTATTTGAAATATCAGGATGTACTTTCTTGTGCCTTAGAATTTAGATTACTATATATATATATATACACACAGAGTTTATTTCTTGCTACTAATTGTACATCTTTAACAGTTTAATTAGATTACTGTATTAATTACTCTCTCTAAAAAGTATTCCATTACTTTTTACTTTCCAAATCCCATATCAACCTCGACCAGTTGAACAATACAAGAATAGACATGAAACTACTCTTTTAATTCTAATAAATATACAATTGTATAAATTATTCTTGAACTGACCAAAGTATTTAAAGTGAGAAAGTTATATTATAAACATATATTTTAACATTTACGTTAAATCTTGATTTTAAATCCACTATTATTAGTCTATACAGTATTTAATGCAATTACATCAGAAGTAATGAATTAAATGACAGAAAAAAATAAAATAAATCCCTTACTTTACTTTTTCAAGGGAAAAAATATTAAATTATAGTAATTAATGACTTAATAATGCGCACACACACACACACAGTTCTTCCATCTGAAAGAGTGTACAGATGATCTGCTGGTGCCCTTGTACTGTATTTTCATTGCTGTGTTTGTATTGTGTACTTTTCTGTTGCAAGTGTAGTGCCAATATTTATATCACTGTTTTCTATTTGATATAAAATATCAGTATGTGTTGTTCATAATGCTTGATTTATAAGTCCAGTTGTGATTAAGGATGTACAGTATATACCAAGTTTTTGACTGAAATAAATTCATGAGAAATAAGTTTGACTCAGTGGCAAGTTATTTCACCTTGATTTTCTTTGAAGTAGTATTCTTTTTTAAATAAGCTCAGTATTTCCCTCATACATACAGTGATTGTACAGTTTACAATCGTGTAACTGGATAAAAAGCCCTCATTCACGTTTCTGATTTTCCTTCCCAGCAAAACAACACAGCTCACACATACAGACACTTTACAATGAATCCTCCTTCGCAAGCCCACTTATAAACAAAATCAAAATATTAAAACAAATTACATACAAAACCTAAACTTCAGTTCTTTTTTTCCTCTAACAAGGGAAACAAGGAAATATATTGTGCCACAGTCTTTTCCCTCATACATAAAACCACACTCGGGTTTGTGTATTAGCAGAGAGCATGCGTTCTAGTTCAGCACATTATTTACAGCCATGTACATTTTGGTCATACAAAAGGAAAACAAATAGTTAAATACAAACACTGTTGTACAGTAAGCAGTATTCCAGGTCAACTCTGAGTGCACCGCATATTTTTCTAAAAAGAGAGAAAAAATCAAACCGCTGCAGAAAGACCTGCTCTTTTTCAACAGCAGTTGACATTGATTAGTTAAGCCGAATCTGACTTGCTGCCATCCTCCCAAAATATACTGTCAAGACATCCATTCCAAATGTGCCTGACCTTCCAATATGTTAGTTCAATGGTGAGGCAAACATGAAGGCAAACAGTTTCACAACTTATGTGAATGTTTCAGTGCACAAATAAACTCTCAAAACGTAACGGATGAGAGCATGTGGATTCTGAGGCTGCAAAAAAGAAGTTTCCCCCACGCCTATTTCCCATGAAAAAAGTTTCTTTGGAAAAGATCAATTCTGCTTTAATGGTGTGACTAAGTAAATTAACGGCTGACTACACGGATGCTACTGCCCATGAGCAGATCGTTAGCCAAACACTACATATATTTGCAGAAATCCTGTTGACCTTTGTAACCTATTGACAAAAAATAAAAATGCCCATAAAAAGTCTAAAAATATTTCACATTGCTGAATGCATCTCAACTTAGGAAGTAAAGGCAAACTGAAAAACACAACTGCATTGAAATTTAGATATACATATATATTTTTTACAAACATAACTTAAAATATTAAATATTACTTTTTTGCAGAAGCAATATTGATCTGGAATATTTCAGGTACATTTTTAACTCAAGACACAGCAGGATTCTCAGGGATTATTACTGGTCTGAGTGGGGACATCAGTGGGGACATCTGGTCCAAGGGCAATGCTCAGCAAAGTGTCCATGGCTGGCATTGAGTAGCCGCCCACTCGTAAGGTACAGAAAAGTAGAAGGTTGGTGTACAGCAGTTACACAGGCCTACTTTTACTCCAATGGGTCTTGTTACTTCCATTTATGTGTCCAGAGCAAATACAGATGCACTTGATTTGTACAGTACATGCTAGATTAACTTCACATAAGTGGAATTCACCTCAACAGGTCTGTAGTTTCACCATCAAGATATGGGAGAAAAAAAAAAATCAAAAGATAAGATGTTCAACATGTTAGATATTCCTCTGGAATGTTCTAATAAATCTTGCACACAAACTCATTCTTCTTATACATTAGACTCCACAAAAGGTCTCTTTGGTTTAATGGGTGAGGTTGGGCCTTGCCTTTCATTACGAGATATCTGCCTATAATCATTGTCCTGATAGGCCTGGGAAACTGGTAGAGTCCGTGCCACTTTCACATCTGGGTATGTGGGAACCTGACTAACTCTGCCCATAGCGTCCGCCCGGTCCCGCGTCACACCAGGAGGGTTGGCGTAGAAATCATCATCCATTAGGTGGCCATTGTGAGCGTTGTTGGTGCGGTTGTAGTAGGCGATATGGCTGAGGGGTGTCGTTTGCTGCCCGTATCCCATGTTGCTAGGAGAAGTTGCTGGACTGTTTACCACTGTATCCAGGGATGAAACAGCCCAGGGTCGAGAACCCGAGGAGGACGATGCAAGCGAAGGCTGCTGCTGGAGGTACTGCTGAGTCCGTGCAGTCTTGTCTATGATGCCCATGAAAGGTGTGTTGCGGGAGCGAAGGGCCTCTCCTGGATATGTTCCACCCACCACCCGGAAGTCTGTGCCTTGTGGGGGTGACATCGGGGAAAGGTCATCATGGTAGCTTCCTTCATAGGAAATATTTAAGGGTATCTCCATTTGCTGTGCGGAAGCTGACGCCCTGAAGCCTGGGCCTAGGTTAGCAGCAGAACCTGCCACTAAACTGTTGTTGGATGGCGAGAAGCGTAGACCTGTACTGTGGGAGTGAATAAGGGGGCGTGGAGCCGGTGGGTGCTGTTTGGGTTCTACGCTATTGGCACTGACTGGACGTCGGTGTGCATGAAGGTTCTCAGGTGAACCTAGCGTCACCTGTCGCTCCATTTCGTGGGGTGAGACCGGATAGTAGGCGGTCGACTGACTGCGGCTGATCTGTGGTGTCTGACCATAGCGGACACCTCCAGGACTGGGTCTGTAGGCAGAGGAGGGCCTGTGGGGAAGCTCATCCTCCACAAGGCCAGGATCCATGCTGATGGCACGCTGGTACAAGGCCCCTGCACTCAGACTGCTCTGAGGCTGAAGTGAAGAAGAATATCCTCCATCCCCAAGTTCATCCATGTCACCTGGGCAGCGGGCACTCATCGAGTGAGCAATCTGACTGTATGCACTACTACCCAGTACGGCACTGGAGTGTACCGCGGAGCTGGGCTGGTTGGTGCGGATGATCTGTGCCTTAGCTGGCTGCAACCACTGGCTTTGTTGTGATGGTTGGGAAGTCTGTTGGGAAAATTGGAATGAACGTTGGCTGCTCATCTTGGACAGAGGGGACTTGGGTCGTCCTGCAAGCTGGTCCTGTTGGTAGCGTCCTGCAGTGGCGGACTGGGGACGGTACATGGCAACTCCCTCAGAGGTGGGGCTGGCACGATACTGTGTTCCACGGCGTAATGGTGATGGTGGTGGGCTGAAGTGGTAGGAGGCCTGATGAGGGGGACTGGGCCGGAAGTGGGAGCTCTGGTGCGTTGGGGAGAGCGACGGTGAGGTGGATTGGTAGCCTTGCCGTGTAGGAGAGGACATTGAAGGGGGGCTGGGGCGAAGGTCATATGCTTGGCCCAAGTAGGGTGAATCATGATGGCTTGGAGATGGAGGCATGTTCTGAATAACTGGAAGTCCCGATGGAATAGTGTGGGGCTCAGTGGGAACACCAAGCGGTAGGCCATCTAAATCCCGCTCAAGGTAATCGTCATCCTCCTCAAACAAGTCCTGGACAGGCTCCATGTCTGAAATATGGGGCTCCATTGGTGGAGGCGGTATCATGGATGGGGCTTGATCGCGGGGAGGGGAAGGAGGAGGATCCAGCTCCTGTTGCTGTTCAACCTGATGACACTCTTCTTCCACGCGTTGCAGCAGGCGCTGGATCTCGCGGTTATTGGGACACAGACACATGGCTTCACTCAGGTCCTCCAGGGCTGCGTGGAATTGCCTACAGCAAGGGAGACGGAGAATGAGAGAGAGTAGGAAGGTGGAATATGGCAGTAGGTAGAGAGAAAGAAGGAAATATACTTGTTAAAGACTAAAAAAGACTTGCTAAAGGAATATGTTCGGGGTTCAATGTAAATAAAACTTTATCAACAGCATCTGAAGTGGCTCGTTGACAATTACCACACAGAATAATTATGACCCATTCCTCGGTTTGTAAAAAAAATTCTTGCAGTAATGCACTTACAGTGGAAGTCTATGGGCCAACGACCTTCAATGGATTCAAGGAACCGGTTCAAGGAACGAAAACAAAAATGAAAACGAAATCAAGTTTAATCGTTCTGAACAGAAACACTTATTTGAAATTACCATTAACTGGTTAATAACGTTATTTTATCGTACTGTTTAATATTTTAATTTGGCAGTCAACCAATCACGAATTAAAATAGTATGGCCTATGCAAATGTGACGTATCCAACGTGACTGAAATGCCCACGCTCAGCTGTCAATTCATCATAGGCAAGTCGCAAGGCAATGTGCATTATCTTTTGGATCGCAGGAGTTTATCCGAGGATATGTTACCAACTGTTAAAAAGTATTATGATGAGTATGCAGCGTGGTGTGTTTTTAAATCATTAAAAACCATGTTGTCAAAGTTAGCATTGTGGCTTTATGTATAGTCAGACACTTATGCGTCATGATATTATTAACATTCAGGCTCAAGAATCAAGCTCAAAAAGATTTACAAATGTCGGAGATTTGGGTTTTGTCAGTCATTAACGGCTGCATCTTAAGTTCAGCATTATGTTTTCATCAAGTTTATTGTAGTATGTCATTTAATATATTTGGCCAAAATCTTGTGATATAAAAGATGAAGTGCTATGCACAGGCTGTACTGGCTATGATTAGAGGGCAAATACCAGACTGACACTCTTCTCAGCTCCTCAAATACATAATACATTAGCCTTTACAAGCATCGTGTTTTTTGAATAATGAAAACGCTGTACTTATTCAAAGAACTTCATTCACGATTCAGGCAGGTGGAACTACTGTATGAGGTTTTGCCGACAGTTTGAGGATCCACTCGATTTACGAGGTTTAGGCACAAGCTCATAGTATAAAGCTATTTAGTATAAAGTTCTATTCAAGCTCTGGTATAAAGAGTAGGCACAAGAAAAAAAAAGAAGTAAAAAAAATAACGTTATTAACCGATTATTCAAACGGTTATTATTGTAGTTATTAATCAAACTGTTTTCGGAACTGTATGTTACAGAAGGAAGGCAGGAACAGAATGTTAAAATACTGATTCTGTTCGGAGTGAACTGATTGATTTGTTTTGCATTTTTAAACCCTGGTTAAAAGTAAACTTTTTTTATTTTATTTTTTGTAGAAGTTTAGCCAACAAGAAAACAAAACCTGACAACCTTTATAATATATTTGCACAAAAATTGTTTTTGCAGTGCATAACCAGAAGTGAATCTACCTAAAACAGTACCCCCATCCCAAAAATTATGATTTAGAGACGGCTCAAAATTTTTTTAATAAATAAAATTGTACCGAAACAAATTAAAGTGCTTTGACAAAAACACAAGTTTTTTTTCTTCTGGGATGCCCATAGACTTTCATTGTAAATGTCAAGCTTAACTTGTATTGAACCTGGAACATTCCTTTAGTCATTTTACCAATGAAAATCATAGACGACCCCCCCACCCCTACACACAAAAAAAAAAAATCCAAATAAAACAAGCTGATAAAAAGAGAAAAAGGAATAAAATATGAATGATGGGCATTCTGAGGAAAAATAATCTGATTGTTCAACACAACATGAAGTATGAAGAACAGGTCTAATCCTGATGTTGTCAACTAATGAGGCAGAAGTCAAGGGCCTTAAATTGATTTCTATCTGGTAAGTCTAGCATAGCACTACGCCAACCAATCGAAACACATTTGGCCAGTTTGGGTCATGATCTGTCAGCACTCGATCTGTGCGAGACAGAATGTGTTTTATAGGCTGTCCTGCCTGTTGGTTGCTACGGTTACCTGCTGCTGCGCTTGGCACGGGCTCGTGCGTAATAGGCTTCATAGGATTTGGGTTTCAACTCTAGTGCCTTGGAGGCAAACTCCTCCGCGATCCCAAAGTCCTGCAAGCAACAACAGGACCAACAGTCATACACTGAGCCGTACATGAGGTCAGAGGGAGGACACACACACACACACACACACACACACGTGCATGCGGACATGCACACAAACACACATACACATACACTCTTACATCATTAACGCACACAAACTCATGTTGGACATGAATATGTCACATTTATATGAGGATGTCAACACTGATTATTACAAAAATCAACATATTTTGAGCACCATTAGTGCAAATATGATACACATACATACATACATACAATTATGGAAATGCACGTACACACTTATAAAATGTGTTGACACACAAATATATGCTCAACAGGGACAGTGGGAAGATGCAATGTGACAGCTCAAACCTCTACCTGTACTAAACCTAACTCTTAAACAAATACAACAAATGTCAGAAAAACCCAATGAACCAACAAATCAAACCAAAACAGGGATGAGATCATGATGGGAAGAAAAACTACAGCATGGGCTGAGTGTATAGAGAGCTTTCAAGAGAATTTCTTCATTCAGGGGAAAATGAGAAATAATCATCCAAAATGAGAAATAATGTAGCCATAAAGGTGAAAAAAAATGGGAAGATCAAAATATCTCCTAATACATCAATACTGTCTTTAAAGTCCTTGTTCCGTAACTGCTTTGGTCTTAAGTGTTTTCAAAAGCAATTAAGAACACAGACCAAGTACACAACTAATACATGCAGTTTGTTGGTTAGGTAAGTTGCCATTGAATGGATGCTTGTAAACAAGAAGATTTAAAGACCCACTCCGATGAAAATAATGTTTTTCTAGGTGTTAACATGTTCTTGTGGCATTTTTCTGATGTTAGAGGACATATCTTGAGAAAAATCAGCTCAAAGTTGTATTTCTGAGTATTTCTACATTCAAATGTCTGTGAATCAGTAGCAGACGCTAAAATGCCGGCTAAAATAGACTGGAGTTGTGACGTAGTAACTCCACTGGGCGTCTCCACACGCGACGTCTTGGAGTGAAATAATGATCGGTGATCGGTAATAACTTTGATTAACTTCTGATAATAATAATTAACGTGTATATAATACTGTTGTCCCACCGGTATTGGGGGTGTAAGCTAGCGGGAGAGACAGAGCTCTCAGCAACGGGCAGGGGGAGGGTCGTCTCCGTGCCAACGGCTCCGCCCACAACGCAGAGGCGAATTGCTAATGAGCTACTGCCGCTCTGCTGAAGCAAAGTACCAGAAAACGGCACAGGTTTTGTGATTTTGGCTAAAAATGGCATAATCATAATTTAAAGACCACTGGGAATGTTTAAAAATAGCTCAAAATATGATCGGAGTGGGACTTTAAAGTATAGACCCCTTTTGCGCCGACGTCACAATTACGTCACGGCGCTAGCTGGAGGCAAAACAAAGTGAAAACTGGAGGCGGCCAATACAAACCAGCACAGATTCGGCTACATAATAAGGAGCTTAAACTATTATTATTATTATTAAATGTCATCTTGTTGTGTTGTTTGGTGCAAGAATCGCCTACAGGCTCCAATTTGAAATTTTATTGCATAATATTTTCTAAATGATTGTGATTATTTGTGAATCATCTATGATTGTATACATTGTTGTGATATATTGAGATAGACTTTTTAAAGAGCCTGGTAAGAAAGAATAATCAAATAGAAGTTAATATAATTTTAATACATAACATTTTTTTTTTATTTCTAGAAAATATTCACATCATTAAAATTGCACTGTAATGTCACTCTTTACATTGTCGTCTTCTGGCCTTGGCACTGTCTGGCAGCACTGCGGAATGTGACGTCTTGTACGTGACCATTCATCACACAGTTATAGGCATCTAAAGATTTATATGCCCTCAGTTTTTCTTTACGCTTGCTTTCTCTATAAGGTAGGTGTAGAAGTCAGGCCACTCGGCCAATCTGGTTTTGCCCGTTAAAGGTTCTCTAAGCGATCCTGGGTGACATCACTTCTTGTTGACGTTCGAACTATTGTCAAACAAAACGGAGGCTAGCTAGACCCTCCCTCCTCCTCATCCGCACACTAACCCCCCAAACCCCGCCCCCAAACCCTTCTTGTCGGTCATTGGCTGGAACAGTTTGTTATGTTTCGGGGAGCGGGTCGCCGCAGTTTGCTTTTGTTGCTGTTTGTGGAGCCTGGGCTGTCTACAGAGATCGCGTTTCTTTACAGTGTGTTCAGGGGACAGGCAGCCAGTGGATAGTGAGGAGATGTTTGCTGTATGTGACAAAAAATGTTTTGGCCTAAAAAACGCGTGACATCGCTTAGAGCACCTTTAAAATTAACTTTTGAAAATAACAATCGCGGTCCTGGACAGTGAGTGACCTTACACATTAAGATAAAATCTGATTTTCTCCAGTCATTGTTAAAAAACAAGCTAACAAAAGTTGCTAACTAGTGTTAGTGAAGTTGCCAGAGGGATCATTCTGCCTCCACCTAAGCTCCGCCCACAAAAAAACATCACCATGTTTACCAACTGAAAAGGGGTCTATAATAGCTGCTAGTAGTCGACAGATATGGTTTTTTTTACAAATATTTTATAAATGTCAATATCTACAGTGTAGTACAATATATCATGGACCTTAGTTAGGGTAGACAGACACCATATTTAATTTAACGCAAATAAAGTGTACAGTGTGTTGTCTTCAGACACTTTTCTAAATGTCCAATTTTCAATCTTTTGTTTAATTTTCATGTAAGTTAAATATGCCATCGACCTTGAATAAGGTATACCACAAATTTTGTCTGATACAATATATGCAATTGTAAATAATTTGAATTAAAGATAACAACTAAAAAATAAAAAATTATCACACAACATTTGAATAATACGCTGAATGAAAATGTTGACGGCTGTGTTTAGCACAAGGCCAACCAGACACAGTGGATGCTGGGATCATGTGTTGTAACTCTACAGGGTCACTCTAACTCCATTTTGGATTTGCCCTGCAATCCCTTTTCTCTAATACCATATCCTTAACAAACAGACTATCAATACACCTAAGAAAAAAATATCTATTGGTTGGAATGACCGAAAATTCCAAGGCCAAAGAGTCATTTTCCATGAGGTAACCAAACTAGATTAATGTAATCAGGGGAATCTCAATTCTTCCTCATAACGTCGCTATGAGTGAAGAGAGACAGAAGGAAGAGAGTTTTATGAAACGGAGAGCTTTGGACTCACATTCATTTTCCTCCGGCAGCGGGAGAGGTTGAGCAGCAGAGAGACTTTGAGCTCGCGGAAGGTCTTCAGGTCCTCTGTGAACCCCTCTCGTGGGAACTTCTTCAGGGCGTACTGGTAGCGTTGGGCGGCTTCTTTCACCTTTCCTTTCTGGGTTGGCAAGACACTTTTACTTCTCAGTTTCGAAATAATATACGATTATGATATATTTTCATAAAAACAAATGCAATACGACACAAAACTGAAATTACAGAAGTAATAGTCCAGAAAAAATCCAGACAAATCCCGTACTTTACTTTTTCAAGGGAAAAGTAATTAAATTACAGTAATTAATGACTTAGTAATGCATTACACCCAACACTGTATATTATTATTGGCAGCATATTCCTATACACCGTTTTGTATATGTACAGACTACATTTCTTCAGCTGAATATTCTAGGATTACAATTCAAATAAAAGCCACTCACCTTGTAGAATCCATCTCCTTCCTCTATCAGTTTGCTCAGCAGAACAATCATAATATCAGGTTTGGATGTGGCCATTGCCCATGTTGCAGGACCTAAGTGCAATAGAGCATACAAAAAGAGGCAAAGCAAAGAGTCACCACAGACTGACAGTCCATCTGGCCACAAAATAGCTTGCTAATCTCTGAGGGACACAAAGGAACGAGCAGGCTGCCAGGATATCTTGCTTGAAAGGAGGCAAAGTCTACAAACAACTTGTGGATATCACAAAAAGCCATGGCAACACACCAGACAAAAAAAGAAAGAAACAAATCACGAGCAGCTTGGCTGTTTATACCTTGCCGAAATTGAAATCGGTTTATACTGCCAATTAAAACATTTGAATCCAACAGCTACTGAACTTGCAGTCAGCATGTTTGAGCTCTCTGTGGACAGCCTGAACAGAGGTTGAGTGTTTCCATTGGTTTAGACTGAATGTACAGCAGAGGGAGGGTGGGAATAAGAGATTGATAGGGGTCTATTAGAGCTGTAGATTTCGCCATGGGCAGCCAGTCGCAGAATGCAGGCAGACAGGCAGTGACTTAGTGCACTTCATGCAAGGCGCAGTTGAGGACAAACTAATGAGCACGGGATCAGTAACTGGCCAATAGCCCGAAAAAGCCAAACTGAGAGCAACTGTGGTGGAAAAAGTTAAGGTGTTGTTCACACAGAATGCATTCTTGCTTTCAGAAATAGCTATGCAATACAGAATTGCGAAACAACAGCAAAGGACAGAATTTAGAGAATTCTCGAGACACGTTTTTAACAACTACAGCATCTTAAAAGTCTAAAGCTAAAGACAAGAGATACTACATTTTTTTTGCAATAATCAAAGACGTCCATTATAATACAGAAGCGCTGAAGAATAAAACATCGCAACAGGCTTTTAAAACTACAGATCCTTAAAAATGTGACGTGATCATTTTCAGCATCTCGTGTCATGCAAGTCAAAAACATCCATCACAATTTTAAAATACGACGCTAATGAAAAGCAGCTGCACGCAATGTTGAAAGACATCCATCACAATACAACAGCACAAAGGATTAGAACAAAATGTAGGTGTTTCGAGACAAGATTTTAACTTGACACATCATCTTAAAATGTGATGCTAAGGGTGCAAGATGCTGCAAAAAAGCGAAAAGCATCAGAACATTGACAGACGTCCATCGCAATCCTGCAATTAAAAGAAAAATGCTGCAAAACAGCAAAAAGCATCACTATACAGCATCTCAAGATGAGTTTTAACTTCTTTTAACTTGACATAGCATCTTAAAATACGATGCTAATGGTGCAAGATGCTGGCAAAAAGCATTGCAAAAGTGAAAGACGTCGATCACAATACGACAGTGCAGCGGAATAGAAGTAAAAAAAGGTATCTGAAGATTCATTTTAAACTTCTTTTAACTTGATACGGCATCATAAAAAGAATGCATTCTGTGTTCATGTCCTCCCAAAATCACAAAACATTCTGCAGCATCATGCCAAAATGCAACACCTCTTCCTACATGCAGCCATGCAAGCAGACGGAATGAAACAAAAATAATCCACGTCTTCCATCAGATTTTGCCAGCAGTACAAGATTACACAAAATCAACTCGTATTTATGGCTGACAGCAGCTCTTTCCACTTTTTGTAGACAAGAATAGTGATATGAAGATTAAATAACGTTCACATTCGGACATCCAAAACACTGTCAGACCCGACCAATGGAGAAGGGACCACACGGGTAACAAGATGGAGGGACACAGTCAAAAATGGCAGATGGGGACAAAGGTGTGCGTTTTACCTCGAGCACGGGTGGGGAGTGTCTGACATCCTGGTTACGAGGAGAGAAGAGGTGGGAAGGGTCACGAGTGAAAGGGTGACAGGTTATTAGGGCAGAGTGAAGCATCATGAGAGGGGCGTCCGTATCAGACGGAGCAAAGGTTTATGAAAACAGGAAGCAAAGAAGAGAAAAAGAGAGAGATCGATAGTCGATGGTTAAGGGTGAAAGAGTGACGTGAAAGGAAGAACAAGGGAGATCAGCCGTGAGAAGCCGTGGCAAGCAGCAACATTAGCAAAAGCAACAAGCCCATCGTGATCAGCTGCTGATCAGTGGAGTTCTGCAGTTTGGTGAAGAGCACACGAGAAGGAGGGTTAGACTAGGATGACTGAGGTCACAGGGAGGGGTATGAAGGAGAAAGACATCTAAATGTGAAGCTAATTTCATGTGATATTCAATGCATATTTATTCAAGGTATAACCTTTGGAATTTATGCTGTTTCTCATCTAATACTCCTACTCAATATATGGCCAGTTCCCACTGCCTGACACTCAGAAGATGACGTGCACTACCATTCAAAATCAGTAGTAATGACTTATAATTAATATGTTTATTTAGCAAGGAAGCATTAAACTGATCAAAAGTAAAGGTAAAGACATTCATAATGTTGCAAAAGCTTTCGATTTTTTTGTCTATCATGTTTTCCACAAAAATAATTAAGCAGCTCGACTGTTTTCACCATTAAATATAAGAAATGTTTCTTGAGCGCCAGATCAGCATATTAGAATGATTTCTAAAGGATTGTGTGACACCGAAGACAGTAATGGCAGATAAAAATAGCATTTTATGAAAAAGCAGTATCTCCATCCCCCGTGTTAAAGAGACCAATACCAAAAATAGGAATGGAAATGAAAGTTGTAGCCACTGAGAAAGCCGTGGTGGCTCTTTTTTTTTACATTTTAAATGTAATACATTTCTTGCGGTTTAAAGCATGCAGACAAAATGCTCTGACTACATGGTTGCTAGCAATCGACGACGGATGCTTAATGTTTAAATGCAACAGTGTGTCAGGCAATGCTTTGGTTCCGGCATTGACCAGAAAACCACGTTTTCTTTTCTCACTGAGCAACATTTTTTTATTCAGAAATAATTCAGCAACTTGGATGTCAAACTTAAAAGAGGATTTTTTTATTGGATTTTTCCAAGTAGGAGGCTGGTGATTCTGACTTTACAAGCTGAACGAAGCACAGCACTACAACCCCAAATTAATTCAAACAAACTGTGTGAACTGGTGTGCATCTACCTGCAATTCAACATATGGCTATCTACTTTTAGCACAGCAAACAAGTTATTGTACTTTTAAAACAAGAGCGTAGTTTAGCATACATTTTTTCTGTAAGAAACTGTTCCCCTTCCAGCCTACCTATCTTGGCGCCCTTCTTGAGCAATGCCACCACCACTGACGTGTTCCTGCAGCCAACCGCACGATCCAGTGGACGCATGCCGCTGTAGTCCACATGCTCGATCATCGCACCATGATCCACCAGATACTGCACCTGAAACCACATCAAGACCAGAGCTATGGTTTATTGTCTATACAGCTCCTATGTGATATCTGTCTAGAACCATTAGCTTACGCTAGCATCCCAGTTTGGAGACGTAAGGATTATATTTTTAAATACAGTAGATCTACTGAAAGTTAGTTGACTATGACAAAACCAACCACTTCCGAGTCTCCGTAAAAAGCGGCAAGATCCAGCGGAGTGCGGCCACTTTTGTCTGCATGGGCCGTTGCCGCACCCCTCTCAACCAGAGCACGGACCAATGGGAGGTGGCCTTTAAGACACGCCCAGCTAAGTGCTGTTAGCCCCTCCTTGTCCATCAGAGACAATGAGGCACCTGTGAAGTAAGTTCGAAATGGTCAGAAGAATAGAGAGGAGAATAGAGAGGATTGACTGACAGTCTCCTTTAATATACAACACAATTGGAAAGAAAAAGACTATCGCAACCATTTTAGGGCGACTTTAAAATTGATTTTGTAATTAAATTGTATAACTACAAAAACAAATCTAGTGTATGAGCAGGACAGCTGTACCTTGAGCCAGCAGGAACTCCGCCGTACCCAGATGTCCCTCGGACGCGGCCATCATTAGAGGAGTTCGGCCCTGTTTATCAGCCATGTTCACATCAGCACCATGATTTATCAACAGGTCCACTATCTGCACAACCAACACAGACATTTCAGACTAAAACATCAACAAAATAAACATACAGGAAATAAAAATGTGACCTTTGCAGCGTAGGAGGTGCCCACCTGCCAGTGTCCCTGCCGCACGGCGCTGAAAAGTGGCACGATCCCCCTGCGGTTCGGCTGAGCCACAGCGGCACCCTGCTCCAATAAAAGACGGCACACATCCAGCTTCCCCCGACCCGCTGCTGCTGTCAGTGCTGAGGTATAGAGAGCCTCGTAAGTGAGCAGTTTGTGCCTTCATCTTTAAATCAAATTACAAAACGGGTTGTCTGGGGGTGTTGTACCTGTTTCACCCCATAGTGTGTCAAAGTTGTTTATTTGAGCTCTTTCCTCCTCTTCCTCATCTTTCTCAGGCAGGTCAAGCAGGTATGATACAATCTGTGTATAAATACCAAAATATGTGTAAGAGGAATGGGAATTGTTGCTGTTGTGTATATATATATATATATATATATATATGCAACAACATGTTAAACATGCTATATATATTATATATAATAATATATAACATATATCATATAATATAATAATATATTAACTGAGATGCTTAAAAATGGTTAATGCTGTAACACTGCTAAATCTATTAAGTATAATTAATACATTCACCTATTTGTATTTGTATATAAAAAATATAGGAAAATGTGAATATGTTTTAATAATAGCTAAATACAATTTAAAATAACTGTTTCCTAAGATGTCAAAGCTAAATTTTCAGCATCACTTTTCAAGTCTTCAGTGTCACATGATCCTTCAGAAATTATTCTATGATGATTTGTTGATGAAAACAATTGTAATGCTTAACATTTTTGTGGAAACCATGATAAAAAACAAAACAGCTTTTACGTGAAATAGAAATCTTTTGTAACATTATAAATGTATTTACTGTCACTTTTAAACAGTTTAGTGCATTCTTGCTGAATGAAAGTATTAATGGCTTTCCAAAAAAAAAAAAAAACCTCTTACCTCTGTATAGCCCATACTGGCGGCTGCTATGAGGGCCTGTTGTACTGCATGGCTCTTGCTGAAGGATCCGGCCGGCTGTTCGTCTGTGTTCCACTCGCACTGCACCAGATACTTCACCACCTCTAGATGACCCCGCAGGGCGGCGTGGACCAGTGGACACTGACCGTTCTTATCCAGGTGATCCACCTAAACAGAGAGAGAGAGAGGAGAAACGGAGATGAAACTTTGATAATTGAAAAACAGCCTTACGTTCCTATTGGTTATCAGTCTCTAATATCTAGACATGTCATGGCTAACCGTGGCTTTCTTGCTGCAGAGGGCAGTGATGATGGGTAGGTGACCCGCAGCGGCTGCATAGCCAAGGGGAGTGAGCCCGCTCTCTGAAATACCCTCCACATCCGCCCCAAACTCCAGCAGCAAAGCCACAGTCTCCAGGTAGCCCAGGTGAGCGTGCACACACAGGATGGGGGCGTTGTTCAACACCTCAGTGCGATAGTTCACATTAGCTCCACCCATAATCAGCAGCCGAGATACCTAGAGAAAGAGATAATAAACAGTTACAACAACAAGCATATTTTACTGTACTCACATTGAACAATTTCTTGCTGATAAAATATTACAAAATGTACACAACTGGGCCATTAAGAAATCAATACTTTTATTTAGCAAAAATAAAAGTATTTTTATTTTTTTATTAAAAATAAAATAACTGTTTGAAATAAATGCTGGCAAATTCATTTTAAATAAATAATTTTGAAACATAAAAATAGTTTTTTTAAATTGCAATAATGTTTCACAATATTACTGTTTTTACTGTATTTTTGATCACATAAATGCAGCCTTGGTGAGAATAAGAGACTTCTTTCAAAAATCTTACCAACCCAAACCTGTAGTGTATTAGTGTATGAAAAGTGTGTGTAGTGAACAGTAGTGTATGAAAAACTAAAATTTAAACCAGGCCCAAATTTAAACAGGGGTTTTTTTTTTTTATCACGTAATGTTCTAACTTGAGAGACCTCTTTCAAAGAACCCAAACTTTTGAATGGTAGCATAAATTCACTGTAGAAATATACATGACTTTTCCAAGATTTTTCAAGATTTTTCTTGACTTTTCCAGGTCTGGAAATCACTTTAAATTCCTAATATTTTCTGTGACTGACTGTTTTTTATACCTTGATGTTGGGTGTGTAGAGGTTTCTAAGTGAAGCCAAAGCTGCAGAGAGCCCTTCCGTACTGTAGGACACCCACAACCCTTGCAGCACTGAGGAGGAAACGCCAACCTTCTTACTCAGGCCCTGAGTCCAAGAGACATTGGTGTTGTTAAAAACCCCCATCACAACTGGCAATACATTTCTGGTAATAATATAAATCTTTACCAAAATCATTTACTATATACTGCTCTATTCAGATTGACGGTATCAATTTAGCATACATCAGAAGTGTTGTAGTGGTTATAGTTAGCCTAACCTTAAAGATGTGAGCTTTGAGAATATGGTGGCCAAGTTCAAGGGTCTGTTGTCGATTAAGTTTGCTGTCTTGCCGTGAAAACCAGAAAGCAAGCAGTGTGTGGCCACTCCTAAAGAATCGAAAAAGAGACAAGATAATGGTATAAGCTAATTTACTTCAGTACTGTAATGTAGTAGTGAGTGCAAAATTTGGAACAGGAATCAAGTCATTACATTTTGATGAAAAACACACATTCTGACTCCTTGAGCTCCTCACCTGGGGTCGCAGAGGAACTTGGTCTTCTCTCCATCCTCTCTCCAGATGAGCCACTCTCTAAACGAGGGGTGGACGAACATGCGCGTTCCATCGCGTCTTTTCACCAGGAAAGGCGACAGGAGATCAGACCTCTGCTGGAAATCATCCCAGTCCAGGGCGGCTCCACGCACCATGCTGGCGTTCACGGCACAGTAGGCCTGCTCGTCAGTTAACGGGTGTAGAGAAGCCACGGCCACATTCAGCAGTGGAAGAACGCGCTCGAATGACGACTGAGTTGGGAAACGCATGTTCAGCTGCAACAGGTAGACCTCAGCCAGATTCACTGGAACCACCTGACCGATTAAAAAAATGTAATAAATATACACAAAAAAGCTGAAACATATTTTTATTTTGTATTTATATTTTGAATAACAACACTGCAAAGCTATATCACCTATATCTCTGAAAAGCTCAAATAATATATAAATAAAAATAAATCAAATAAAAATAACAACACTGAAAAGCTATTATTTTTGTGAATTTTATTATTTACTGTCTTTCCTAACTTTCTTTTTTCTTTCTTTTCCTTTTTTAATAAAATAAAAAACACCCCATTACTCTAAAAAGCACATAACACTGAAAAGCTATCATTTTTTTTGGGTCATTTTTAATTGTTTACTGTCTTTCTATTATTTCATTTTATTTCTATTTTTTTATTGTATGGATGAAGTGTCACTCCTATGATGTACTTAGTAATAAAGGAGGCATCTGTGTGACCCCTGACCTTGTAACTGGAGCTTTTGAGCACGAGGTAGCCCTTCTCAATGAGGTCCAGTGTGAGCTTCAGGTAGAGGTAGGAGCCCCGGCTGAGACTCTTCAGATGAGCGCTGAGTTTGGTGAAGGCCGCATTGTCCAGCTTGCCGTTGAGCGCCACGTTGTTCTGGATCTCCTGGCTGGCGTGCAGCCGGTGCAGGATGTAGCCCTGCAGGTCCGAGTCTATCGCATCACTCTCCTCCAGACGATCCAGAGAGATACGGTGGAACGGCAACGGACGAGTCACATCCTTAGATACAGAGCAAATAAGTAAACACGTAAATGAAAAGAAAGAATGATTGCTATGGATGGATGGGATACAGACCTGTAGTGTCGTTCTGACGGTGACCACCAGTTTGAGCCAAGGAGGGAAACGCTCAACGGTTTTGCAGAGGAAGGAAACAATAGTTTCTCCATAATCCGGTTTATGGAACTCTGCCTCATTCAACCCGTCAATCAAGATGATGAGATTCTCCTCACAGGCAATCTTTCTCTCTGTAAATATTGCACGTTTTAAATGTTACATGCATGTATGTGTACGTACAGTATGCGAGTATGCATGAACACATTTACGTACCTCGTTGCAGGATCTCCAGAGGTTCCAGCAGACCCCTGCGGAAAGCGTTGAAGGGGTCCTGGACGCAGGAGCGCAGGCTGAGTGTGCTCTGCAGGTGCGGCTGGCGGAGCAGAAGATCTCGGTAGGCCTGCATCTGAGGAGCCCTGCACAACAACGCTGCCACGTTATGCACAAACTCAGGGACCAGGCAGGTGTAGGCGTTGTCGGCCTGACAGTAATGGTACGCCACCACCTACAGAGGAGGGAAGGAGCACACGAGAGAGCAGACATGAGCACACATTTACATTCACAAGACTTGTTTTCACCTTTGCTTAGCAACATTAAATTCTCAAATCCATCACTGAATTTGATTGATCAAACATTGTTCCAAAAGTGCTGATATTTCACTGAATAATTAAGACGACAGATTAATTCAGGAATAAAATTCCAATGGTACAAACAGCTTCGTTTGGAATGTTGTTTTCATTGGTGAAGCAAAAATAAATTAACTTCAATATTGTAATATTGCGTGTGAAACGTACACTACCATTCAAAAGTTTGGGGTCAGTAAGATTTTTTTTGTTATACTTTTATTCAGAAAGGATGCATTAAAGCAGTGGTTCTCAATCTTGGTCCTAGGGAGCCACTGCTCTGCACATTTTATATGTCTCCTTTATCTGACACACCCACTTCAGTTAATAAAGCTCTTTCCTAACGAGCTGATGATCTGAATCAGGTGTGTTAAATGAGGGAGACATACAAACTGTGCAGAGCAGTGGCTCCCTAGGACCAGGATTGAGAACCACTGCATTAAAGTGATCAAAGGTGACATTAAAGACTCACATTGTTACAAATGATTTCTATTTCAAATAAAAGCTGTTCTTTTGAACCTTCTATTCATAAAAGAATCCTACATTTTTTTTATCATGGTTTCTACAAAAATATTAAGCAGCACAACTGTTTTCAACATTGATAACAATAATAAATGTCTCTTGAGCAGCAAATCATCATCATAGAATGATTTCTGAAGGATTATTCTGAAGGAGTAATGATGCTGAAAATTCAGCTTTGACATCAGAGGAATAAATTACATTTTAAATTATAACATTAAAAATAGAAAAATAATAATATTTCAGAATATTATTGTTTTTTCCTGTATTTTTCATCAAATACATGCAGCCTTGGTGAACAAAACATTTTTTTAAATCTTGCTCACCCCAAACTTTTGAACGGTAGTGTAAGTTACTTCTTTATTAACTGTTGTTTAAAAGCTAGATCAGCACTACTGTATTCATTATAGAGTATCAGGCACTACTGCTATATATATATATATATATATATATATGGCAAACACAACTCAGTGATACATATAACAGAGTAAAGGTGCTCAGTACATCTACAGACTCCTGCTAAATGTAAATTTAGACAAAGAGAAACGCAACACAAAAGCACAAAACATTTCCAGTCTCTGGGATTTAGTGCAGGAACTGCTATAAGCTCAAAAACACAATGAATTTAAAACTAGAGAAAGATTCAAAATTGTATTATTGCATATAACATTATCTAGTTTGAGAGCATCGATGGCCTTATTCCAATATTATGAAACTGCTTCTCCCCTGGATTCACTTCATCACGCAGTGTGTGTGTATGTTTCAAAAGCTTGTCATCATTAGCAATGCAGAGCTCCGAGTATATCTAATGGCTGTGCTGGGAGACTTTGTGCATATAAATATTTGATAAGGCAACAGAGCCGCAATAAACCTTTGTGCTTAAAAGAATAGAGAAAGAGAGAGAGGAGGAGCAATTTAATAAAGACAAAAGAAGGAACAGGGACACAGAGAGATAATAAATCAATAGAAGAGAAGAGAGGGAGATTGAAAGGCAGGCTGGTCATATGCCTGGCTCTGTTGATGATGTTGGTATTAGTTGGCACCTGAGAAGCCAGTCTTCTGAGCGCCTCCTCCTGGCGTCTCCGCATCTCTGGCGTCCCAGGACAGCTGCTCCCACCGACCAGAGTGCCGTGAGCGGACTGAGGCTGGTTCAAAGGAAGTGTGTCGCCATCTGAGAGAAAGACATGGCAATGCATGGGATGTGAACACTTTGCCGGATTTTAATATTCAATAAGCTAAATTTGAAAGCACTTAGTAATAAAATAAAATAGTATACTATAAAAACAGTGCGATATGACAATTAAAAAAATAATTATAATAAAGGGAAATATTATATACAATATATATTTTAATATAAATATGATATATATATAACTTTCATATAATTTAAATATATTATCAAATATGAACTAGTATCAGTAACTAGTCCTGTTAACTAATAATTTTTTTTTTTTTTTTTTTTTTTTTTTTTTTTTTGAAGCTTGACAGTTGTGTTGTGATTGAAAAGCTGTGGATAAATTCCTTTTGATTTCGGTTTCACAGACAAACTAACAGCATACAGGTTTGATGTCACAACACAATGGTCAGTAAATAAAGACCACTTTTGTGTTGTTGTTGCTTGAACTAGTCTGTCTGTTAGATGTTTATTAAAGGGATAGTTCACACACACACAATAAAATTCTATCATCATTTACTCACTCTCATGTTGATCCAAATCTGTATGAGTTTCTTTCTTCTGTTGAACAGAAAAATAGATATTTTTAAGAATGTTGGGAAGCAGACAGTTGACGGCACCCATTGACTTCCATACTATTCTTTGATTATGGAAGTCAATGGCTACCGTCAACTGTCTGCTTCCCAACATTCTTAAAAATATCTTCTTGGGACAACTTGAGGGTGAGTAAATGATGACAAAATTTTCATTTTTGGGTGAGCTATCCCTTTAACAGGAATATATTCCTTTAAGACAGTGATGCGATCTTCTTTTAAACGAATCCACTCACGTTTTGGTGAGGCGTGTGGACTGTCAGAGGTGATCTGTCTCATGTGGATGCCGTGGCAGCTGAGAGCCACCAAGCGAGAGATGATGGCCGTTTTGCCAAAGCCCACGTTGCCGGCAATAACAACACCTTGATTTGCGGTGAGCTCGCTGCTGCGAAGACACACGTCAACTTCCTGGAACAGCCAATCTCGACCGGTGAAAACCGTATCAGGCATCAGACTGGGCACCTCGAAGAGAAGTGGCTTTAGGGCGATGTCCGGTGGCCGGTATGGAGCAAAGCGCACTGCATCATGGGAAACATTAGGAAATGTACTAAATTAAACAGATTTATACATAAAAAGAAAACTTTCCAATATCACACCCAAAGCCTATTTTTTCCTTCTATTTCTTTTTACAGTGATTTTATCCATCAAAGCTGAAGTTTCACAATATTCCCCCAGTTTCAAGTCTAGTCCCAGACTAAAATGCATGTTTGAGCTGTTATAACTGAAAGCAACTTACACTGACATATCTTAAAATATGTTACTGTCATTGCTTTGTCTCAAGATTCACACCAGTAATGTTTTTTCTTCAAGGCACAATTATAAAAGTTACTTAAATATCCTAATTGAACTAAGGCCTAATCCTGGCTTAATCAAAGCCCTGTCTGTGAAACCAGGCCGTAATTTCCAAATTCAAAGCTCTGCCTGTTGCAGTAATCATTTTTAACCAGCAGGGGGAGATGCTTTGTCTGAAAAAGGCCAGATCTGGCAGCTTACGCAAGTCGAAGCTGCAGTGTGAAACCCCATAAATCAGTGGTTGTCGAAAGGGTGCTTTGACCCATTAACGTACGCCAGGAAATACATCTGAAATAAGCCTCCACGCATCAAGAACAGGAGAGCAGCCGTCACTGAGCAGTTGCCATGCTTACCGGAACCCACCCTTGAGGATGACTTGCTTTTGTTCATAGATTATTTGTCAAATGTATTGCCACCATGCACATAGCAAAATTTATATTCTTCATCATGTTAATCCACCACATATGCTTGCAATAAATTCTCAACATTCATTTTAAAAATCCTCATCTATATAATATTCATATTCAGTTATAATCTTCATTATTCTTATACATATCATAAGCCTAACTACAAAAACATTTAATCCCAATTACTGATAACACTCAAGGCAAGTGTCATTTTAAAGCAGGCCGGGGATCGTCAACACAATTAGCATAAATTATTCAATGCGGTTGGCTATATCATTTCGTGATTGTAAAGGCTTATACTGCAACAAGTGTGCTGGAGCATATTATGAGGTTATTTATCCCCCCATTTGCATGTGCACTATTAATTAGCCAGATAACATGTGAATTAATAATCTGTGCATTAGCATAAGGAGGTGGGCGGGGTTACGCAGGGCGAGGTGACCTTTATGAGCACGTGTGCTGAGCTTGGATGCTAGAAGACACTATTGGAACATAGAAAGAGAGACAAAGAAAAAGATAGATAGAAACCAGGGCAGCCGAGCAGTAAAATTACTATAAAGAACTAAAGCAGGGAAGGTTGTAAATAAAGAAAAGATGAAAGGACAAATTTAACCCATAGCGTTTAAGTGGCACACATTAAAATCTCCTTTCATGGCACAGCTAGGGTGGCTTCACTTCACTGGATGTTTTCCACAATTAAGCATCATTATTACTGGTGGAAATGGCTCTTAATGTCTTCTGAAAGAGTACTATACTTATACATGAAAGAACCTGCTTGTAATTGCGGTAAAATTATGTCATTAGCTACAGTGTGCTAGAATTATTATCTACAGTAGTTAAGTTTGGATACCTTATGTCTGACGTACAGTTTGAGCATCATGTCACTATAACTAACCACACGGAGAGAGTCCACCTCCACTTCTTCGTCACCTGTGCAGTCATCCTGAAATAAACAGGTTGTTTGGTGAATTGTGACTCAAGCTGTTGGAGTCAGAGAGGAAACCCAGAACTCCACTGCTGATTTAGGAGGTGTGGAGCCTTGACTGTGATCTTTAGACAGCAGGCTGAGCTCTGACAGATGAGCCAGCGCTAATGCTAATAGGAAGTCAATACTTCGATCGGGACAGGAGACGGATTATGGCAAGGCAGTCCAAAGGGGAAACAAAGAACAGCAGGACGAGGGGGGAGGGGGGCGAGGGGGGGTTGAGTGATCCACGGAAGAGCTGTGGAGTGTGTTGAGGGTTTTAATGGCACTTGCTGTGTGTTGCGGAGGGCAGATGTGAGAGACGCAAGGTGCACATGCACATCAATATAATTAACATTCCATTATAGAGGTTCCTTTAAAGGGACATTCTGCCATTTCGTAGAATTCGATTTTTGTTTTTCCTGAAGGTACTTAAGCTGGGCGCGCATGATTTATATCAGACTTTTACAACTGTTGCCTGTCAGACTGTATGAACATGATCCCCGCTGTAAGCCATGTCACACTGTAGGATCTCAGTTGTCATTAATGTCAGACTTCACGACAGTCAAGACGCGTAAAAAAAACAAAAAACGGACACATACAGGAAGACTCGTCCGGAGTTTTACATCATCTATCCGTGATGCGTTCAGTGACTGTGAGCAGAATTTACACTGAAATGGAGGCTAGCAAACAAAAACAATCTCTAGTGTTAATTATGATCATGGATTGTCTTGAAAAGAAAAATGGAAAAAATTGAGACTGTGTATGGAGCAAGTAGTGGTTTGTGGTTGTCTCATTAATTTTTGAGACAACCACAACACAGGTTTGGTGCTCCTAGTGGTTTTTGATTTGAAGGTTGTCGTAGGAGAAGACTGTGCGTCTGACACTGCCAGAACATTGGCCTAGGATCACAGGAATCTTTTAGGATTCTCAAAATTTGTCTCAGACAGCCAAATCGTGGCCAAAATTGTACAGTGTGAACCTGACTGTACTGCATAATGTTAATCAAGGTTGTGTGTAGCAACACCTCCAGAAAGTTGCTGAAATCTAAAGAAACGGTGATATGTACAGCAACATTTGGACACAATTGACTGGATTTATGTTTCTCATAATCTTAATAGACTGTTGATCTAAAAGCTTCTGTAAAATCAGTCAAATATAATTTGAGCTAGAAAATATATTCTCTCTCTCTCTACACACACAATTTGTAGTGGTCTTTTAATAGCCTTTAATAACCATTTTAATCACAAAAATGCTGGTTGCGAAATTAGCAAGAATTGCACAAATACTGTAGATAAAGTAACTTAGCGCAAAATAGCCTTCCCCAACTTGCAGACAGCTTTTTACAGGAAGAAGAGTCAGTGTTGTTCCACTTTGTCTTGGTAAAAAAAACATCTGATCATTCCTCTTTTAGATAACAACTTTTCAATTGTGGGAAGCAAGCCATTCTTCAATATTCTCCTGTATCTCCAAAGCATTAAATGACTTTTCACAGAGAAGTATCTCACACATACCAGCAGCTAAAAAGGCTCTCTTCATCTATGCTTCACTGTGGTAGAGATGCATTTATTATTATATTTCTTAGCAGATTTTCGAAGACACCACTCGAGTATCACCATGCAACTCATGTTCATTCATCACTCCACACACAACTTCCCATAATCTCCCAAAAACTTAATTCTGTCTTTGATGTGTTTTTTTTCTGAGACAGCAATGGCTTTTTAATTAGTGCATTTGCTTAAAGTTTGCCAATTTCCTCATCAATAATTTGTGGATAACACAAAGAGAAAAAGGTACATGTGATCACATATATGCACAAAATCTAGAAATAACATACACACCTCTTATGTCCGCTTGTCCAGAGCGGCTGGAACCGGAGTTCTGACGTGGCATTCGCAAAGACGTGCGCAGTGGAGCCTGTCTCTGCTCATCCAGATAGGCAAGATCCTCCAGGTGAGCTGAACTAGTGGCTGACAGAGAGAAAAAACAATACTGTTATTTAAAATGTTTTTATATTATATATTAAATATTAGCTTTATGTAAAATATTCAATGTTATTTAAAATGATTACATTTTTAAAGTAATATTTTTATAACCACTTTTCTTTTTTCTACATTTGTGTGTGTATTGATGCTTGGGCAATATTATATTTAAAATATGTATGCCAATTAAGTACTTTGAAATTTGCATTGGAGTTGAACAGCATAATGAATCTGTACTGTTGGTTATCATCAGTTCCCGCTGACTTTAAAATACCCGCCTTCTCATTATTTTACCTGATTTTATTTAATTTTACCTGACATGTATCAACATTAGCTATGAAGTAAATGTAACAGTGTTTTGTTTAATAAACCATTTACAGTGGTAAAATAATTACCTCAGATAGTAGTATATACGGCGGTTATTAATGGATATGGAATTACCGTAATAATCCATAATATATGCATTACATTTATTCAATACATGCTTTTATTCAAAAAATGAAGGTGACTTACAAATTAAGGCATGGGTATTTTCCAAGAATGCAGTGGTATTTCATAGTAATATAAAAAAAACATGGTAATATCATGGTCCAATCTGTAGTTAGAGATGGGTCAAACCCTTTGACAAACTGTGTGAGAGCTTGTGTTTGCTTAGCTTGTGGATATTAGCTTTCATGAGGATGCTTGCATGAATTTTGAGCCTTTTTTCCATTGCTAATGAGGAGGGAAGTTCATGGCGGCTTGATGCACCAGAATATTAAGAACACTGTGGGTGGCCACAGAATTTCTCTCAAAGCATCTGGAGAGAGCTTTTTAATTATTTAACAACGGCTAACATTATTGTGGCAGTGTTAGCACAGATGCTAAGGACGATTGGCCACCAGCCATGTAAGGTGCCAGGTGCAACACACTAAGGAGAGTCTTTCGTTCTCCTATAATATGTTTAATTGAAGACAGATTTCAGAAAAACAACCATAGCCCCATGGTACATACATTTACAAATGACAACTTCCACGAGTCCATGTGTAGATCAATAGTTCAGTAATATAACTCTCCTCAGAACCCATGTTTGAGCGGGAACGTGATTGAGAGCTGATTGAAACAATTGTTGATTGTTTTTTATCGATTTTACTACATTTAATGTTATTTTAACTATTATTTTACTACAATTAATGTTACAAATATAAAACCATGGAGGATCTCCATCAGCATAAAGGCCTGTTCATACCAAGGATGATAACTATAACAATATTGTTTGAATAATTCTTCTAATTCTATAAGAATAGGGAAGTCCACAACACAGCTTACAATAACGACAGAGGGGAACAATATCAATGGAATATTTAACAATAAAAACCTTGATTAACAATAAAAACAGCCAATCAGAATCCACCAGATTTTAAAAGGGCATTTAAAGTGGAAGTCAAAATAACTGCAGTGTATGCTTACAATAAACAATGTTATCTTCCTTTATTACACGGCTCTGTGGAATACTAGATTCTGATTGGTCAGTAGCGCCATCCAGCAGTAAGTTATTCCCAGATAACAACTGCTCAAAATAATTAAGATAACGCAGGCTCATCCGGGTTACTGAAGTCAGGAGTGCTATACGCCTGCTAGGGACGTTTTTTCTTCATGGAAGTTTTGCGTTTGGTGAGCTAATAAAATATTAAAACTCAGTCGAATCAATATTTTGTGTATTTAATAATGCCATCCAGTATCGTGGACTCGCTCTCGCTTGTTTCATACAAACGCAGCTGCTGCCATTTTGTGACTATTGTTTTGTACACTGTTGGATTATGAGATACAAACAGGTACGATTTTAAAACAGTTTAATCTGAAATCAATATATCTTATCCCCAGAATTATTTATGTGGTGAAATGCTGTGTAATAAGTGGTATGAATGACTGTATACCGTATCTCTTAAATGTCCGTTTAGTTTGAACTTGCCACTGCAACTGCTCTCACCATGGAAGCTTTGCGTTTAAAGACCTAATAAAATATTTCAACTCAGATCAATATTTCGTGTCTAATTATTTACTTACGTGGCAAGTAGCCGTGTAATAAGTAAGGGATAATGTACATCCAGCCGGTGGTTCTCTTGAAATAACCTCCTTCAGGCTGATCAAGACCTCATCATCCTGTCAGGGATTATTTTGAGAGAACCACCGGCTGGATGCACATTATCCCTTACTTAGTGTGGACACTAATTTAGTTTTGTTATATTTATAGGTACCATCCTTGGTTTGAACAGGCAATTTAACAATAGCAAACCACAACAATCCAATGATCCAATCAATTCTCAATAGACAAAATCAAGTCCCTTCCTAAATTTTTTCCAGTTTGAGAAGCTTTGAATACTGTATATGTCACAATAGGGGAAAAAAGACTTTAAGACACTTAGAACCAGCACAGCTAACTGTATATTGGCTAAACCCATGGTTTTAATAGTAAAATAAAATAGAAAAATGCTATTTAGACAGCAGCATTTGTCTTGCCCAACCCCACCCTCTCCATCTGCACTGCAGACTGTCTGGCTGGCATGACTGTGTTGCTGGATGTACGGCGGCTTGAACTGCATCACAATGACTTTGGCTCCCATCACTAAACTGGTGTTTTACAGCCCCACGTGGCGCTGGTCCAGAAAGCACGTCTGCGTTTTACACCAAATGTCTGAGCATGTTCATATCTACATATCTCTAAACTTTGATTGAACATGGAGATCTGTTCATGTCCTCACATAATATTTTAAAATGGAAGATAAACATACATGTATGCTAAATAATTCTAAGTGATCAGACTTGCAATTTTTTTTTACCTTAAAAACACTTAGGTGCATTCACATTTACCATTGTTCTGCAATTTTTTTCGGGCGAAATCCAGTCATTTCAATAGGAATGCACATGATCAGAAATTTTGCAGGTGAAAGATTTCCCCTCACAGATTTCACAAAGGATTCAACACAGATTTGCAATATTGCCCAACAGAACGCTGTATCTGTTGATTTCTCTGTGAGTTGTGCTTCAAACAGACCCGCCATTGATAATAAACAATGGACTTTTTGCCGGCAAAATTTATAGTGTCTACACCTTTAGTCTTTAAAAGGGAAGAATCCTGAGCCATTTCTTGAGACCAGAATATTCAAAAGACTTGGCAGTGGGTTATTTTAACTAATGCCAGTAATAAACCACCAAGTACACCCTAGCAAAACCCTGGCAACCACCCACATGTGAATATGCCAGTACATTAATCTCTTAAACTCCTCGTATTGTGTGCTTTATGTACATATATGAGGGTGAATGTGTGAATATATGACAGGAAGTGAACACAGGAGAACATGTCAAGTCTTTTTGTCAGAAAGAATAATCAAATGCATATTGAACTCAGAGATCAGACAGGTTTTGAAAGGGGAAGATGTGATAAAAGATGGACTGAGACACACACCGAGAGCAGGAGAGGGAATGAGTGGGTGGGTTGAGGAAAGAAAGAAATCAAAGGTGTGACAGAATAGAATGAGAAAGATGAAAAGTTTGAGAGGTGAGCATGCATGAGTAAGAAAGACAATCAGGGGTAGGAGTGAGAGAGGGAGAGAGAGAGAGAGAGAGAGAGAGAGAGAGAGAGAGAGAGAGAGAGAGAGAGAGAGAGAGAGAGAGAGAGAGAGAGAGAGAGAGAGAGAGAGAGAGAGAGAGAGAGAGAGAGAGAGAGAGAGAGAGAGAGAGAGAGAGAGAGAGAGAGAGAGAGAGAGAGAGAGAGAGAGAGAGAGAGAGAGAGAGAGAGAGAGAGAGAGAGAGAGAGAGAGAGAGAGAGAGAAAGAGAGGGTGAGGTGATGAGAGCACAAGAACAGACAGATGCGAAGATGGATGAACAAACAGATCACGTCATTCACTCACTGCTGCAGCTGTCTTCACTCAGGTGCATGCTGGGAGCAGGTTTGTGTCTTCTCAAATACACTTCACACACAATTGAGTTTTATCATTATTTACTCCCAGTTTTATGGTGCTTTTATGATGCTTTTTGTATGCCACTTTGATGTTCTATCAATTTAAGACTTTATAACAGCTCAGAAAGAGTGTGGTAAATGTATAGAAATGTAAACCTGGAACTACTTCATAGCCATTTATTCAAAGATAAATAAATGTATGAATTAATTGATGATGATGATCATCATCATCATCATCATCATAATAATAATAATAACAATAACAACAATAAAGAATCCAATTTTTAAGATTATAAAGAATGATAAGTAATATAATTTGTTAACCTTTATTCATCACATTAATTAAATTATTAAGCATGTGTTATTTAATCAGATTTTAGACCTTTTCATTTTCTAACCATTCAATTTACTGTATCTGGGAATTTCCTCCAAGCAAACCTTCGACAGTAAAAAGTCGACAGTAAACAAAAAAAATCTACATTGCATGGAACTGAGCTTTGGTTCAAACTACTGAGTTTGACACTATATGGATCCAAAACCAGCAGCACAAACGACAAATCCTTCATAAAACCAGGAGCAGATTCACACAGATGTCCTTGCTTTGTGGTAACGGTCCGGCATCAGGAGCTAGGAGCCGCTCAAGAGCTCAAATGGCCCATAAAGCTGAAAAGAGGGGCACGTCTATAGCTCTCACAGTAATCACTATGTGCTTTTACTGACCTTGACATTTTGAGGGAATTGGAAACACGTGTCTGTTGACTTTTAGGGTCTGAATTATGTTGGATATTTCCTGCCTCTGCAGTTCACCATTCATGAACAGAAGTGTTCAAAGAGCCTCGGCTGAATGAGCTGCACACAGAGCTGACTCTAAATATTCACACGCCGTGAAAGATGAATATGAGCGTTTGTAACTAACAGGATTTGAACGCTGGACTGAGTCTTGACTAGCTCAGCATAATATGGAGGTTTCTACCATCTTGCAGTTAAATAATACACTCACCTAAATGATTATTAGGAACACCTGTTCAATTTCTCATTAGGGGTGTGGTCCTGGTCAAGACAATCTCCTGAACTCCAAACTGAATGTCAGAATGGGAAAGAAAGGTGATTTAAGCAATTTTGAGCGTGGCATGGTTGTTGGTGCCAGACGGGCCGGTCTGAGTATTTCACAATCTGCTCAGTTACTGGGATTTTCACGCACAACCATTTCTAGGGTTTACAAAGAATGGTGTGAAAAGGGAAAAACATCCAGTATGCGGCAGTCCTGTGGGCGAAAATGCCTTGTTGATGCTAGAGGTCAGAGAAGAATGGGCCGACTGATTCAAGCTGATAGAAGAGCAACTTTGGCTGAAATAACCACTCGTTACAACCGAGGTATGCAGCAAAGCATTTGTGAAGCCACAACACGCACAACCTTGAGGCGGATGGGCTACAACAGCAGAAGACCCCACCAGGTACCACTCATCTCCACTACAAATAGGAAAAAGAGGCTACAATTTGCAAGAGCTCACCAAAATTGGACAGTTGAAGACTGGAAAAATGTTGCCTGGTCTGATGAGTCTCGATTTCTGTTGAGACATTCAGATGGTAGAGTCAGAATTTGGTGTAAACAGAATGAGAACATGGATCCATCATGCCTTGTTACCACTGTGCAGGCTGGTGGTGGTGGTGTAATGGTGTGAGGGATGTTTTCTTGGCACACTTTAGGCCCCTTAGTGCCAATTGGGCATTGTTTAAATGCCACGGCCTACCTGAGCATTGTTTCTGACCATGTCCATCCCTTAATGGCCACCATGTACCCATCCTCTGATGGCTACTTCCAGCAGGATAATGCACCATGTCACAAAGCTCGATTCATTTCAAATTGGTTTCTTGAACATGACAATGAGTTCACTGTACTAAAATGGCCCCCACAGTCACCAGATCTCAACCCAATAGAGCATCTTTGGGATGTGGTGGAACGGGAGCTTCGTGCCCTGGATGTGCATCCCACAAATCTCCATCAACTGCAAGATGCTATCCTATCAATATGGGCCAACATTTCTAAAGAATGCTTTCAGCACCTTGTTGAATCAATGCCACGTAGAATTAAGGCAGTTCTGAAGGTGAAAGGGGGTCAAACACAGTATTAGTATGGTGTTCCTAATAACCCTTTAGGTGAGTGTATATAAATACACTTGTATTGCTATTTTTGTTAGATGCTTCTGCAATTCATTTGCTTTGTATGTGTATGAGTAAAATTTAATCTAATCTAATCAGATATGTTCAGACTGGCATTCTACTGCCAGTAATGGTACTAGTACTATATTTGGCACTAGCATGTACATTGTGTGTGTGTGTGTGTGTGTGGGGTGGGGGGGGGGGAACTTGCGAACTGTCCCCCTCGGTCAGTTCGCAAGTACGGGGCCCGGCGGGACCCAAAGGATGGCCCTCCATACATGTATATACTGCAAAGTAAGCAGTAAGCAATGCACTAGTGTGTACACTATTCTGAACATACATTAGCCAAAATTTGACAGGTGCAGAAACTTACCAGCCACAGAATTGGGGCGGGGCATGAGGTAGAGGGGGATGGAGTGGGCGGAGTGAGAGATGGAATGTTCCAGGCTCCTCTCTGGGATTTTGTTGAGGCTGTATGTGGAGGCGGCCATGTTTTCATCCACCCGATAAAGAAAGGAGTCTGTACCCATCGACTTCTGTGCCTGCCAGAGTTTCAGGCTGCCCCGTGAGCTTTCGCTGTGTTTACCTCCATGCTCAGCATTCTCAGAGTAACTTGTGAGCGTTGCTGCAAGAAAGCAATGAGATTTTTGAAAACGACACTGAGCGGTCATTATGTTCATGTACATCAATAGGGCTTTTCACACTTGAAATAGTTAAACCTGGGTCATACTAAACCCCAAGTAAACGGAATCCTGGGTCTTCTTTATTCACGTTTCACACTGCTAAAACTATACCCGGGGTTAACAGTTAATCCTAGGTATTCGAAAGCTGCCGTTTCACAGTGCACATTCCTAAACCCCGGGTTAAAGTCCTTACTTGCATATTTGCGGTGTCAGAGCTACTGACTGGACAAACGTAGCACATGACCCGTTTACATAAAGGCTCTAGCACTGCACGGCCTCATATTACACATTGCTGACTGTAATATCAAGGTTTTTCTGAGAGTACTTTTCGAACTATAAAAGGTAAGAATGAAACTGTCTCTTCTTCACTCCAATTGTCGCATTTTCCATCGCCGTTTGACATCTTTCCTATCATACGCAGAAACGGCTGTTTATATAGGCTACATCGCGCAGTGTTTCCGTGACTGCCCAAAGCACGTGAATATAAGGCATGCGATTGGTGGTCGGTTGCTAAGCATCTAGTTGTAACATTCTAACAAGTGCATCGTTTCACACTGTACAAGTTTGGCACCGCAATGCGGAGTTAACCGTATTAATCTCCAGAGCAGGGTTTCATAACCCCAGGTAAAAAGCGGTGCTAACCCCGCAACTAAATTACAAGTATGAAACGTTCCTTTATTCGGGGTTGAAGGCGGTGTCTAGAACGACGATAACCTGGGGTTAAGCGCAGTGTGAAAAGCTCTAATGATTAAAAAAAGCCCTAATGATGACTAATGAAATTTAATTTCTATTCCTAAAATAATTTACAGAACTTCTCTCACCTATAATGCCACTGTCTCGGCTCTCCAGTGTGGAGGTGGGGCTCGTGATGGATCCGTAAGCACAGTCTCGGGTGCCCATGTTACCTGGGGCTCCAGCGGGCAACGTAGAACAGGGGCTGCCTGGAGGGGGCGACGCTGTGCTGCTAGCTAAACTCGAGCATGGGCTGATCCTCTGGGTCATGGAGATGCCCTGAACATCACAAAAAAGAGAGTTAGAGAACTCCAAACTTGCCACAAGTATATAAGCAATGAATGATAATGACAAAATGAGTTGTTTGCTTTCTATTTCGCTGCCCTGACTATCCCTGCCCCCAGTGAAATCTCATTGGTTAAAAATCCTCCTACACCTTGTAATACTAAGTATGTGTTGGAGGCTTGAGCTTATATTTTTCTAATAAATAAAACTTATAAACATGCATGAGTTCAAGGTGGCCATTCACTGGGCTTCATTCATGAAACACCAGTAGAACAAATTTGTGTAAATCACTTGTAAAACCACTCTTCCTGAAATTGTTCCATTCAATTCAATCTAACAAATTCACATAAGAATAACTGTACAAACAATTTACATTTGGTTTGCTTGTGTTTCATAAATGAGGTGTAGTAGAGTTTTCACTCATTTTTACACTGCAGATATGCACTGTAGCATATTAAAGGCTTCTGCTAGATCAGTGAACCACTGTGTGTATATATGAGGTTCCTCTTCCAGAAAAGTAGCACTGCTGAATGACTTTCACACACAAAAATGCCCCCAGAAGTGGAAATCTGCTGACTGGGATTTAATGATACAGTACTGTCCCATATTTCTGCTGAGGACTGCATACTCATGTGGAATTATCTCTTTTTTTATGGCTTGGGCTGACTTAAACAATTTTTCCACAGTGACTCAATATTATGTAATTTAATACAACGTTATTGGCTTTTTATGGTATATGACTGAGGGAACGTTGAATTTTTAACTCTTAACTAAATGGAAAAAAGAAAGAAATGAGTGTGTTGTTTTGGCATTCTACAGTCGGCTACAAGACATGATCTACAAAAACCGACCAGGATGGTGGATCATTTTACCCAATGGGATGAGAGAGAGCAAGAAAGACAAAGTGAGAAGACAAACAGATAACAACAATTTATAATAAAAGGGTTGCATGAAAAAAGTAAAGAGGGAGTATAAAAGAGAGGGGAAGAGACATGGAAAGAATAAGTGGTTAAGCGAGTTCATGTCTGACTCTGGGTCTGCGGTGGAGGCCACATTAATGACATCATTCAGATGGATATGAACTTCAGTCAGTCAGTAGTACTTCTGTCCAGAAACTGTTTTAGATAATACGTTTCATTCAACCAAAAGAGATTCTACTGCAAACCAAAAGGATGCTCTTTCATAAAAACAACATTTTAAGGATAAATTGGCAAAACACAACTTGGGGCTCTGATGCAACATGAGACTCTTAAAGCTGATTTCACAAACTAGGGTTTGAATACAACACTAAGTAGTTAACCTTGTTTTGCTTTAAGAGTGCAACTAGAGATCTTCATTTCTTTATGTGTACAACTGAGCACTTCTAAACTGGCAACGTTGGAATGTCTACTATGCCTGAAAACCCCTGAAAAATAATAATACTTTTCACTATTAACCAGCAGTGTGCTCCGAGCCAGATCTTGGACTCAATAACTTCCCAAATATTTCTAAATAGCTCAGTCTACACCTTTTTGTCCAATTCAGGCTTCGGTGTGCGTGGGAGATACTGGCTCTGAATCTGTGTTTTGAGAAATAGTGGCCTTTCGGTGACCACGCTCGCTTGGCAGGGACCAGCCTCTGAAATAGCTCTGCCCAGCTGTGGACGGCAGGAGCCGTGTGTTGTGTGATACATTCCTGGACTCAACTAGGAGTCAGATCAATGAGGTCAAACTGAACTGAGAACAATTAAGAGATAATTAAACGCTTCTGATTTTAACCAGCGGAATCTAACAAGAGTTCAAGAAATGTTCTTTTTAAAAATGGCGAGGCTGTTTCAATAACTAATAATTATTAGTTATTGTTAAGATGCAGTTTGTTTTTTAAATAATTGTTTTAATAATGGTTGTCAATTTTACCTCATTAGTTATGTAAAAAAAATACTGTTAAAATACAAATAATATATTATAAATATATGAAAAAATATATACATGTAGTTTTTACTACATATATACAAGTTTTAGCTCGAAATACCCCACAGATATTTTTATATAGCATGTTAAAGTTGTCACTTTTTGAGGGTGAGCAAAAACGCACCATTTTTGTGTCTGTCCCTTTAAATGCAAATGAGCTGCTGCTCCCGGCACAGAGGGCGGAACTACAACAGCTTGTGTCCTGAAAATTTCTAAATATTTTAGCCTTTATGTTCAAACCGGAGTCAGACAAAGATGGAGAGACTCAAGAAGAAGTGACAACATGTAGAAAACATTTCTGAATGCTTAGTTAATGAATGTTTGTAGCTTATGTGTAGTTATCTTCTAGTCATTGATTAGCATATTCTGTCTGGATAATCTATAAATCGTGTCTCGGGGGCAGGGTTTATGTAAATTTTAGGGTTGGTGATGTCACTAACAGGGAGGAATGTTGTGTAGTCCCTAACAGCCGTTTGTTGTAGTCCTTAAAAAGCAATTTCTTTAAAAGCAAATATCTCCCTTTGCTTTGAACTTTGAGCGTCGTGACTTTGCAAATGTTTACGTTCAAACAGCAACATTACACACTAACTAAAGTTAAAGTGAAATCATAATCAACCACCCCTTTAAAGTCACCATGAAATCAAAATTGACCATTTTTAATATTGCAGTATTTATTATAAATGATTTATCCATGCACAGCATTTTTTTCAATCCTGTAATCTTAAAACAAAATAACTTCTCCCTCTTGCAGCGATATCTCTTCTCTGATGACGTGTTTTTCAATGCGAGAGCGGGACAACCTGTCACTCACATGACATCACAGCAATAGCAAACCACAACCATCCAATCAATTCTCGATGGACACAATCAAGTCCCGCCCTACATTTCTTGTTCGAGAAGCCTTTAAAAGACTTTATTAAAGACGACTTTAATTCTGTAATATGGAATTTTTGTACCATTGCACAAATTTAATTTTGAAATTCTAACAATGTTTGAAATAAAACAGACAATATATTGACTTCTAAAGCCATTTTTATAATCAGTATTTAATCCGTGTATTAAGCAATTAATTTATAAAAAATATATATATATATAAAATAACAGCACGAGATTGTATGTCATTTGACATAATTAATATGTTACTGTACTGAATAGAACACGTTGAATTCAATTTTCCTGACTTGAAAGGTTTCTAAGCTCTCGAAACGCAAAAGCAGATGTTCACTGGAGAATCATGGGTAAGATCAGTGTGGACTGTAAATAGAGTAGGTTTCAGCATCTGCTGTCTGAGACATGCCTAGTTAGACTCGAACTGTACCAATACTCCAGCGCAAACTACTCGTGTTCATCTGAAACCCAGGAACATCTGCCATGATTTAGAGAGCAAGAATATCTGTGTTTTTGAGGTGGGGAGCCGCCCACTGACAAAACCCTGAGCTGCAGAGAAGCACCTCCCTCCCATCATCACTAGGCCAAAAAGTCACTTATTATTTTTAAAGAATAATGAGACTGGATAAAGCATCGAATGCATGTATCAAACCTGGGGGTCATCTTGTTCCTCCATGTTGTACTGTGCTCCACCAGGCCCTTCGTTCACTTTGTCCCCAAGCAGGAACCCCAGTCGCGTCATCAGTGTGTTGGCGGCCTCGTCTACTGACGGAGGAGGACCCAGTTCTTGGCTTTCGTCCCCTGTAAGAGAGTAAAAGACAAAGATAGAGGAAAAACCATTAAAAAAAAACATGTTTATAAAGTAAGAAACCATTTAAAGGCTGTTTTTGACATAACTAATGTCAAACAGCAGCAAGAGGAATATGATAAATCAATAATAATCATACTGTCACGATGCAGCAGAAACAAGGAGGAAGGAGAATCCACATGCAGCACACTTTATTCCATAAACTGAAAACAATACAAAGACTCAGACCAGGAACAAGACTCAGGCGCAGTAAAACCAACATCGACAGTAACAACACAAGAACTCACAAGGACTGAACTGAAACACAGGGCTTAAATACAAGGGCAAACAAGCTAAACAAGATAACGAGGGGCGTGGTATACATGAACACAAACGAGGAGCGGGAAAACAGGGAACAGGACTGAACCAAATGCACAAAGACAGGGGGAACACAGACAGACATCACAACATAGCCCCCCCTCTATGGGCGGCTCCCGACGCCCAACAAAACAGGAAACAAGACAGTTCGGGAGGGTGGTGGAGCGGAGGCGGTCCCGGGGGAGGGACGGAGGGCCAGGTCCGCGCAGGGAACGGGACCAGGGCCTTGCAATGACGGGCATGAGCCATGGAACGTGGGCGGACCTGGGCCATGGAACGTGGGCGGAGCAGGACGAACAGACTGCCAGGGCGGAGCAGGCTGTGGGCGTTTCCACGACGGAGCAGGCTGAGGGCGAGGCAACGGCGGAGCAGGCTGTGGGCGTGACCAGGGCGGAGCAGGCTGTGGACCCTCGGGCATCCAGGGCGGAGCTGTCGGACCCTCAGGCTTCCAGGGTGGAGAAGACCCCTCGGGCGGCCACGGCGGTGAAGACCCTTCGGGCGGCCACGGCGGTGAAGACCCTTCGGGCGGCCACGGCGGAGAAGACCCTTCGGGCGGCCACGGCGGAGAAGACCCCTCGGGCGGCCACGGCGGTGAAGACCCTTCGGGCGGCCACGGTGGAGAGGACCCTTCGGCCGGCCATGGCGGAGAAGACCCTTCGGGCGGCCACGGTGGAGAGGACCCTTCGGCCGGCCATGGCGGAGAAGACCCTTCGGGCGGCCATGGGGGTGCGGCCTTCACAGTCCCATCCAGGGTCCTACTGCCCCCCCCCCAAAATTTTCTTAGGGGCAGCCATGGGGTCATCAGCAGGAACAGACACCGGCGCAGGATCAGCGGGCTCTGGCGCAGGATCAGCAAGCTCTGGCGCAGGATCAGCGGGCTCTGGCGCAGGATCAGCGGGCTCTGGCGCAGGATCAGCGGGCTCTGGCGCAGGATCAGCGGGCTCTGGCGCAGGATCAGCGGACACCGGCTCAAGTGTGTGCGTAGCCCACACACACCACATGGCTGTGGCCATAATGGCCAGTGTTGCGGTCACTGAGGGCTCAGACGGCGCATGCATGGCGTGATCAGTCTCTGGCTGGGCAGACGTGACGTGGACGGTCTCTGGCTGGACGGTCTCTGGCTGGACGGTCTCTGGCTGGACGGTCTCTGGCTGGACGGTCTCTGGCTGGACGGTCTCTGGCTGGACGGTCTCTGGCTGGACGGTCTCTGGCTGGACGGTCTCTGGCTGGACGGTCTCTGGCTGGACGGCCTCTGGCTGGACGGCCTCTGGCTGGACGGTCTCTGTAAGGCTGACGTGAAGGAACTCAGGCTGGACGGGGCTGACGTGAACTGACTCAGGGGGTACTGTGAGCTTGCGGGGTGTTTCATCGGCCAAGCCCACAGTAAAAGCTGAACCGCTCAAGTAAAGGGCCAGGTCGATATACCCTTCTAGGGTCCAGCCGGTATAGTCGTCCGGCATCCGCTGAGCAATATCCGCATCCAGCCCGCTCCAAAACAGGTCCAAGAGTTGGGTGTCATCCTAGGATCCCAGATGACAGCAATTCACAAAGTCCCTCACATACCACTCTATCGGCTGTCCGTCTTGGAACATTGAAGAAAGCATTCTTATTAGCACTCCATTGCTGGCAACTGCTGGATCCATCTTTGGTGAGTTCTTCTGTCACGATGCAGCAGAAACAAGGAGGAAGCAGGATCCACATGCAGCACACTTTATTCCATAAACTGAAAACAATACAAAGACTCAGACCAGGAACAAGACTCAGGCGCAGTAAAACCAACATCGACAGTAACAACACAAGAACTCACAAGGACTGAACTGAAACACAGGGCTTAAATACAAGGGCAAACAAGCTAAACAAGATAACGAGGGGCGTGGTATACATGAACACAAACGAGGAGCGGGAAAACAGGGAACAGGACTGAACCAAATGCACAAAGACAGGGGGAACACAGACAGACATCACAACACATACCAAACTATTTTTATGTCAATAAAGTTCCTCAGCTAAGGATGCATTCAGCTAATGTCTGAACCATATCAGTTATCAGCTGATATCAGTGATTTGGTTTTATTTTTGGCATTTTATTTTTCTTTTCTAGATTAAAATATATAAAATTATTTTATTTTGAAATAAGTCATAATATTGTCTATATAAATAATATTAATAAATAAAATTATCTATTTCATCCACAATTTCAATACAAGTAATAACAAGTAACAGACATTAAGTCATCAATCAAGGTTGCATTTATTTGATAAAAAAATATAGTAAAAACAGCAATATTTTAAAATATCATTTCAAATTAATATAACACTTTTCTATTTTAATATATATTTTAAAATGTAATTTATTCCTTTGAATTGTCAGCATCATTACTCCAGTCTTCAGTGTCACATGATCCTGCAGAAATAATACTGATTTGCTGTTCAATAAACATTTATTATTATTATCAATGTTGAAAACAGTTGTGCCCCTTATATTTTGTGGAAACGTGAATATTTTGTGAATAATTAGATGTAATTATGTATTTGGTACTGCCAAAACTGCAGGAATGTTGGCAGGAAATGTAAAGACTGTGTACGTCTAAATAATTCTGGCAACCAGAGAAATTGCTTTCCATGACTTCACCATCAATAATGTAATTCTTATGATTCTTGCAATTCCACATTGTCCAATGTCCACTACAACTAGGCAGTCACAAATCCATACTCTACGCGGCATACCTGTGGTCTCATCTGAATTTCAGTCTCAAACAGCCTCATGCCAATGTACTTTGACCTTCTGCTTACAAATCATATATATTTTGAAACCACAGCAGAAAAGGACATGTAAACCAGCCCACACTTCCAAACTCACTGTTGTGAATTAGCAGTGAGCTAAGCCAAAACCCCAAAAAGACTGTAAAACACCCCATCACACTTAACTACCTAACAATCCTTATCAGAAGGATGTCTAGGTGTCGTAACTTTTCTTGAACCGCGAGCGCAGATGAAGCGTCTGAGCCTGTGCGTTGAAAATCACAGTCAAAGGCTGATCGCGAGACTTCAAAAGAAGAGGTGTCCCACGGTGGCTAAATCCACAGCGAGGAGAACTTTTTCAGGATTCGTTTTTTTTTCATGCCTTTCAGCTCTCACCATCAGCCGAAGAAAACCGACTGCAAAACAAACAAGTCTTTCCCAGAAATACCGGGCGAGTCGCCTCACCTCTAAGGCACATGCTCGTCTTACAATCAAATCCGTTCTCAGAGACTCAAAATTTCTCTCAGATAAACCAAAGCCTCAGGCAGCAGTGGCTCTGCGCAGCAGCTATGGTTAGCTTTTATAAGTTGTCCTAAAAAGGACAAACTATCTGAAAGAAAAAGAATCTCGGTATAACAGATACCGAATGTGTCATGAACAAGAACAAATCAACACAATAGATGCTACAGCTAAATATGCTAATTCGTTCAAAGCATACAAATGGCCATATATGCCTCAAAACCAGTAATGACTAGAACACACAGGCATTTTGGAGCAATATGCATTCATTCAATATGCACATTTGGGCATATATACATTGGCTATTTTACAATGGCTTCAAAAGTCGCTCGGACAAATAGATATAAAAGAATAAAATGCTACAGCTAATTACGCTAATCGGGCACAGCATCTACAGGACAAAGCCTAAGATTGAGTTGACTACTTTAGACAGTATGACAATTTAAGACATTTTTGGGCATCATCGGAACATTTTAATCTTTGATTTGAAAGTTCAATTGCATTAAAGTGCTGTTTGTACAACAGAGTGTATAGTCAACAAAGTAAAGCTAACGACTCTAATGCCAATCAATTATTTATTTGTGATGTGATGATATTTAAAAGTGATGCATTCTTTGGTACAAAACAAGCGCTGGTCACATTTCTATTTTGCCAACTTGCGCATTTTGTTTATGCACGTCACAGTCTATGTAGCCACCTTTTTAAGGCTGTGCAAAGAACAATACTTTTGCCAGACAATATAGCAAGTCTACAAATTGGTTTCCTGTTTTGAATTTTGTGTCTCTACAGGAGTCGACCCGTGGGAATTCGGTGATGCAGTTGCAACACAAATGTTGTCATGGAAACTATGCTAAAGATTGTCCTGAAGCATTTGTCTCTTTCATTCTTTCTTCAACCGAACATTCCTCTTAAATTTTTCCTCTATCGCTGTATCGTTGCTCTATACCTCCGGCGGGATGTATGTCACTTGTGACAGCATATAATAAAGTTCAGAAACCCACAAATGACACCAGCAGGAGCTGGAATAGCACAATGCTGGAAACTTCTGTTCATTACAAGAATAAAGTCTGTGAGGTTTGTTTTCCTTGAGCTCTTGAGAATAGAAAAAAAGGACCATTCTGAACTGATGATTCACAAACATGTATAATCTGAGGTTTAAAGGTAGGCCTGAGGATGCAAGCACAAGAAAACATTCAAAAACATTCACATATTTGTGGACCACACACATATCTGAAGGCATAACCATTAACAATCATACACATGTACTCATGTATGACAATCTCAGAGCTAGAAAGGGCAGCTATCACTCATCATCAGTGCACTTCTGTACGAGTGATGATGAGCTATCTGATACTCAGACAGGCCGCAGGGGGTTG